ATCAAACCGTTCCAGTTACGTATTTAACCTAAATCCAATTGCCAAGGAGGAGAAGAAAGAAGACGGAAGGAGATATATTATCCAGCTCAATGCCGGCAGCAGAAAGAAATGGTTTAATTCTGTGCCCAAGAGGCGGAACAAGAGAAGGCTTTTGTTGTATCTAAAACGAAGGTATATACAGGGTTAAATTTGTTAGAGAACATTTTGGTAATATACTGTAATGATAATTTGATACGGCGTTGTGCAAGAGATGGCTCATCTGCCTCGACGTAGAGGTCTGTCAACAGGTGAAGTTCTAAAAGAGCCAAGCTAAAGTCTCAGACCTTGGTGGTGGACAGAATCTAATAGTTTTAGGTTGCTTTTGCAGGCTCCACCATAAACGATGGAACCATAATCAAGTTTTTGGAACGTACCAGTGATCGATATAGATGTAGGAGGAAGCTTGACCCCCTCCCACTTAAAATTGGAAACGACTTTTAACAGATCAAGTGCCTTCAGGCATTTGGCTTTAAAGTGATTTTAATGTGTGGCAGAAAAGTTAAATGTGAGTTGAAAATCAGACCCAAGAACTTGGCCTCCTTTACAACTTTGATAGGGGTGCCACTTAAAATAATTCTGGATCTTTATGCGGTTTATATTTTCTGCAGAAATGTATACAATTAGTGTTTGCTATAGAAAATTTAAGTCCGTTTTCAAGTGACCATTTGTCAATTTTATTGAGACAAAGCTGTAATTGTCTCTCTAAGGTATGCATATTTCTACCTCTACAAGAAACATTAAAATCATCCACAAATAGTGATCCATCAACTGAATCACTTAAAACCTTTGAAAGGCTATTTATCTTAATGCTAAAATAAAGTCCCAGAGACAAAATACTGCTCTGTGGAACACCTTGGTCTTGATTAAAGAAGTCTGACAAGGTTGATCCCACACAAACTTAGAAACTGTCTGTCGGATAAAAAAATTAGTTATAAATTGGGGCAAGCGACCTCTCAACCCAAAGGTTTGTAAGTCTTTTTACAATACCATGCTTCCAAGTGGTGTCATAAAGCTTTTTCAAGATAAAAAAAAGATGGATACAGCATGTTGTTTTTAAAAAAAAAAAATTTTAACAAATGATTCCAAACCTGAGACCAAGTGGTCAACTGTACTACGGTTTCTACGGAAACCACATTGTATATCATCAGTGATTAGATTGTTGGTTTCTAAAACCAAACTAAGCGATTATCGACCATTCGCTCCATGGTTTTACAAACACAGCTAGTTAAGGAAATAGGTCGATAATTAGATGGATCTGTATGATCCTGCCCAGGCTTTGGGATAGGAACAACCATGGCGTTTCACCATGAAGGAGGAAAATATCCCGTTATCAAAATATGGTCAAAAATGTTAAGTAAAGTTTCCAGGCAAGATTCAGGCAAGTGTTTTAAAAGTTGGTAATGGATAGCATCAGGTCCCGTTGCAGTATCATGAGCTTGTGATAAAGCAGTGTGAAGTTCATGTAATGAAAAGACCTCATTATAATCTTCACCATTATCAGATTGAAAATTCACTTTTTTCTTTTCTTGTTGTGTTTGATAAGCCTGAAATTTTGTATTATAATTTGAGGAAGACGAATGTTTAGCCAAAGTTTCCCCCAACTTATTTGCAATATCACATTTTGCAGTTAGGATGTCATTATCATCTTTGAGATGTTGAATACCACTAGATTTGAACCCTTGCCTTTGATTTTTTGGATCATATTCCATACCCTTGACATAGGAGTACGCGAATTTATTTTGGAAACGTAATTTTCCAAAATATGACGCTTTATGTGCTTAAACGTTCGTCGAGCTTTGAGCATAACTGATTTTTACATTATTTAAGTTACAGTACTGTAGGATGGCAGCGAAAATGTTTCTCTCTGCTTTCTTTCCTATTTTTCCTAGCTTGTTTGCATTCGTCATTAAACCATGGTTTTACGTATGTGAGGGTTTTACAGAGGACTAAGGAATAATGTCATCAGCTATATGTTTTAGTTTGTCAGAAAACATTTTAAATGGATCAGGAACATCCATGAAAAGGTCAGGTTTGAGTTCTTCGAGTCAGGTAGCCTGAAATAAGTGGGCCAATTGCCCTTGGAAAAATTCCATCTTGTTAAAGGAGGATCATCGGTAGGGTTAATTGCTGTAAGTGTACTGTTGGAAAATGGTCACTCCCACAAAGATCATTATGGACTGACCATTCAAATTCATTATAAACATTTGAATCAGTGATTGACAAATCTAAAGAAGAATATGTACCCGTTGCAGGATGTAAATATGTGTTAGAGCCGTCGTTTAATCATGCATAAATTATTATGAGATAAAATCTTCAAAAATTTTCCCTTTGTTGTTGGTTATCAGTAACTTCCCCACAGTGGGTTATGTCCATTTAGATCACCCATTATGATACAGGGTTTAGGTAGTTGGTCAAACAAATCTTGAAGATCAGACTGGTGAGAAGAGTTGAAGATGGAGAGATATATAAGGAACAGAGAGAAAATGGTTATATGTAAAGTAAGACGAACAGCAACAGCCTGAAGATTGGTTTCTAACATAGGTACAGGGCTGTGGATAATGCCATTTCTCACCAAAATGGAAGATCCACCAGTGGCTTTGTCGCCTGGAGGTGAAAAAGAGAATGGTAAGACTGGTAATGACGCAATTCGAAGACTTATCATTTTGTTTTAAATATGTTTCTTGAAAACTAAAATGCTGATGGTGTAAAGTCTTGTGCTAGTAATTGTACTTTATTAAAATTGGTCCTAAGTCCTCTGCAATTCCATTGGATTAAGGGGTTATAAGTCATGTTTATAGCGGGTGGTAATACTGGGGATCTACGTTTCCCCTCCGAGGCGAAGTTCCGCTTCTATTTCGCGCACGTGAATGAGGGAGACGTCCATGTCTTCTAAAATTTGAAACTTGTTATAGATTTGTACAGGGTCACGTGAGCCCTTTGTACTCTGTCAGATTTTTGCCTGTGATCAACTTTATGGCTAGGATTTTCCACAACAGGAGACATTGTTCGTGGTTCAGTCTGACACGCAGATGTTGCATGATTCTCGTCAACAGTAGAAGCTGATGTGATTACTGTGTATTTGGCAGCTTTAGCCCAGGTGATATCTGTCTGACATGCAACAGACATAACAGATTTAGCAGGAGGGCGAGCAACAGCTGTATGTAATACCTGACGATGGAGGGAGGGTGCATTTACTAAACGTTTTGCCTCCTGGTAGGTTACATTCTTTGAATTGACAATTTCATATTCACGTTTCCAGATTTGACATAACTTTGATGAAGACATATGATCGCCATGACAGTTAACACATTTTGGAGAAGACGAAAAGTCAGAACCTTCATGAGCTTCCTCACCGCATCTGTAACATGTCGCACGATTCCTGCAGGATTGGGCACCGTGCCCAAACTTTTGACATTTGTAACAACGAAGTGGATTTGGAATATATTGTTCCACTGCGATGTTACAATAACCAGCTCTGATAGACTTAGGATGTTGGGGTTGTGAAAACAAAAATTAAATAGGTGTTTGTATTTAAAGTTTCTCCATTCTTTTAAACGTGAACAGTTTAACATGAGTCACTCCTTGATTTTGTAATTCTGTGACGATTTCTGTTTTACTCATGTTGGCAAGCCAGCGGCCTCTGTCTCTCAAGATACCTTTGCTGCTGTTCAGAGACTCGTGGGTGAAACTGAAACCGCAGTATTCACAAGCTGTTTGTGGCTATGAGGGTAGCTGATTGTTTGGCCGTTGTACACTCTATGAGGAGAAACCAAGATCTAATCTTTTTAACAGCTTGGACATCACCAACAAGTCCATAAATTGCTTTTGATGTGGCAAATGGATTTAGTTTTAGTGGTTCACCATCAGTAGAAGATACAACCAAAAATCTACTCCATGTATCCGGGAATCGGTTTATGGAACTGTCCTCATCAGAGGACAAACACTCATCCAGTGCTCTGCTTTGTGTGTTTTGGGTTGAGCCATGGTTAATAGTAGAAAGATTCACCATCTCAGGTTCCCACCCCCACGGAGTATCACAAGGACAATGCCATATACCAGTGGGTCTCCGACTGGCAGCACCAAGGATACTGAGATGGTATACTCCAGCAGAAGACTAATTGAAAATTAATCAGAACACCGGATTGGCCCATGAGCCACCGCCTTCTGGGCATAAGACTCTAGGCAAAGCTCATAAAGATCAAATTTCAAAATCTAAAAGTGTTAAATGAACAACGAGAGCCAAGACCAAACTTGAAACAATTTCAAATCAAATTTATGCAATTATATAAATACATACTCCATGCACAGGGCTTGGCGTGACCAGCCGATTGGTTGAACTGGGCCCATTCAACCACAAATCGTCTAGGTGAAGTCAGGGCCGAAGTGGTGTGTTTGGCAAAGGAACACTGTTCCTGGAACCAGTGCCCTCAACCACCAGAATCCCTTCTTCCTCCACCGACACAGGGCGCAACCCACGGCAAACGGGTTGGTGGATTTGAAATATGTCCCCGGGTCCACACCGGGGTTGAAGGGCGCTTAGCGTTACCCAGGACCCACCACGAGGAGGTGGCCCTTCATGGGTGCCTGGGGTTTGTGGAAGGTGGACCTAGGAAAGCAGTACAGAATACATGATGTCAAGATATATCAGCCATCGCACAGTAAGGACTGAACTAACTGACATTTGGCTTCACTAATTTTGAAATATTCTTTTCATGTATTTCTTTCATTTTGACAAAATAGGTTTCAATAGATCCGATGGCAAGATGTGCATCAGAATAGTTCATTCTGATAATACCTGAAGTAATCATTTAGACGATTCTCATGCATTCTTATTTCAACTTATCTTACTCTTTTCTAAGAAATGTGAAAAACGGGAGACAAAAGGACGCGTCTCTAAAAACTACACTTGTTTCTTTACTTTAATGTAGCAATAAAAATATCATTTATTGTAAAACGAGTTTACTGTCTGCAGATATGAATAATAGCCAGTCTAAAAATCTATTTTAGAACTTGTTTCTTTGTTTAATGAAGGTAGACAGATACCATAATTTATTGTAATGCGTTTACGATTGTATAAAATATTAACTCATCGGTTTTACTTCTGAATAAAATCTATTTTAGGACCAGAAGGAATCCGGTCTTTTGTGCTCTACTTGAGTAACACGAGCTCCTCCACGGGCCTTCCCCTTGCTATGCCTTCCCCATACGACACCCCTGTCAGTAACGGCGGGATCTACAGTGCAACATGTGATGGCATTGGAAGATATTTCTCAATATCAGAACACCACATACCCCAATCTCTGTGAGGTCGAAATATATGGTAGGAGTGTATTAAATTTCTGTACGGTTACTGTTCATATGACAAAAGGCACACACATATTTTGATGCCATAATCGGACATAGACCCTTCCATATATCAACAAGCATCCGACATGGACAAACTCTCATTTGTAATGCAAATCTACATTCTTATTGTGTATCCGTATCACCTATTTTCAGTTTGCAGCCCTGGGTTGTTTTGGTGAAACCTGCAGTAAATTTTGTCACTGCGCTGAAGAGGCGTGTGACCATATGTAAGTGGTTTGTGTCCAAGAGACTGTAGACCAGGGTGGCAGGGCAACAGGTGTGATACAGGTGAGGCGTAATACATGGTGTAAGAGAAACTGGTACTAGGCAGGTGAGGAGATTCACTCAGTGAATCCTTAGTAATGTAGGCCAGGATGGCAAATAGACAGGTGATATTTTTATGGGTCTGTGATATAGGTTTTTAACGTCCAAAAGACAAAAGGATTGGACACAAGTGCACCACTTTTTGTGTGTCTTTCGTCATCAAAATTAATTAAAACCCTCAGAATAGTGACTTCCTGAAGTCATAATATAAAGTGCATTAAAACAAAGAAATGTAATGAATTTTTCATGGCGCTCCACATTCGCATTCAATAACCTCAGATAGGTTAACCTGAAACAGGTCGAAATTTAGTGTGCTACAACTGTGTCTCAATCTAGTGCAATACGTTTGTGTATCTCTAACCGCAATTATACATCGGTGGAAACGCGGACTGCTCCGATACGACAGTTTTTAAAGAATATATTGACGGACTATTGCTTACCTTTGACGGTAAGACTATTCCATTGGCCTAATGTATCGATAACATATGATCTTTTATTCGTAGATGTCCGTGCAAATAGTGCAACAAAATTAATGACAATGGGTACAGGTGAAGAGAATGTGTCCCAAACGACACTAAACGTTACACAACGAGGATGTTGATGTAATAGTTTAATGGCTAAATACAAATCAAATCCTGTTTATTCCAAGACCATGTTATTTAAATAACTACCTTTAAACCGCTGACATGTCATTATGACAGTATTTAAGCAGCAGGCCCTTACTATGATTATGACTTCCAGAACACCCTGATAAATCAAAATTGATGTATGTTGGTTGAAATCCTGATACGGTAATATGATAGTTATTAATCAAATTGAAAAGAAAGTCTTTTCTTCATTACTGACTTCATTGTGTAAAATACTACATGAACTGTCATTTGTGAACGTCCCTTTGATGGTTTGTGCTGATATATTAACATACCTTATGATTCCTTTTCAACATGATAAGAACATTATGCATTAAAACTTCCCCGAATCTAAACTAAGAATATTCGTTTTTCATTTTTCTTGTACATACATACCAACATTTGTATAGCGCCGATATCCAGCTGTGAATATCGATAAATTTAGACAGAATACTGCCGTTTGCTATTGTGTGAATATTCATATAATATGTTCCCTCGATCACTGGATGTCAATCTCAACGGCACATCGTATTATCAATCTTAAGCAACTCCCTGGGGAGTATACAACTCTTGCAGCCACTAGGCGCACCGAGTTAGTGTGGCTTTCCCATCCTTACGCGGTACCCATTCACAGCTGGGTGGACTGGGACATAGTCACAGTATTTTGTCCAAGTTTACTGCACGTTGGTGTACCCGCAACTAGGTGTTTGCATCGTATTCATGTGGCCACCATCTGGTCATATACCAACGGATTCATGGGTTCTTTTAAGTGCACATGGTTGTGTACTATAAACTAGGGGTTGTGACATCACTGAAAGAGTCTGCACACAATGTTCACTCCAAGGCATTTACACCCCCGGTCACAGGTGGACTCCTCGAAGCCGTCACCTCAAGCTCGCTGGATCACTAGCCTGGCGCTTTGCGGCCCAGGTTGCCCACCACGCCCGTAGAATGTGACGCTAACCACTATGTAGTCAACTGTGTGAACACGTGTACTGACAGGAAGTGTTCTGATGTCATCTCGTCATGTGATCGCTTCACCAGGTCATGCGACAGGGATGTCTTACTGGTTGGAGAGGTGTGGATTGTTCACAAGGTACATGCTGGCACTTAATTCCTCACAAAATGGGCTTTTAGATCAAATTATTAATTTTCAGTTATCTGTTATCAGAACTTTGTTATGGCTAACTATTACATATTGCCTTGGATACCTAAAACTGTTAGAACAAATAAAACAAGGAGATTCAACCTTTAGCTTAAAACCATAAAATGACAATGGGCTTTTGCAATATTTTCACGTCATTGCGACTTCTCCATAGAGTGTACAAATGGACGCTATGGACAGAACTGCATCGACTCTTGTTCTGACAGGAAGTGTGCAAGGAAACTCGCCCCTGTGATCACATAAGAAGAAGGGCTTGTGTGTCTGGTTGTGCACCAGGGTGGATGGGTGAAGACTGCAGAGGAGGTAAACATCTTTACAGACATCTGTATTTACTTTTGACATTATTTGACTTCAACATTACTTTCAAGCTTTAAAAATCTATGATCGTACGATCATACAAAGCCATCTTTTATCATACAATGATGTACTCTACACACAATAAGGATTAGAATATATACTCAACATGAATTATAATCCATGTACTAATTATTATATATACGACAACATAAGAAAGGTAACACACATTAATTGTGGTAAAGTCTTTTTCGTTTCGTGTTGTGCCACACGGCAGTGAAACGTTTAAACATGATCTGTAGAATAGCGTGAAACACAACTATAATGGGCAGCTTGAGTGACGTAATTACCTCAGCGATCCGTACATGTACATTTTGCCTAAAACATGGTTATTCTTTTGAAGTTTCATTTTATATTTCTATCAAGACTAATAGGAAATGTGCTTGCTCATACATGAAGACGATTAGAATACATAGCTCAAATGGTATCCTATTATAGCATGACATACATTTATGTGCGTAAAGGTGTTCATTAAATACAGGCCATACACTGTAATATATGTTCATGCCATTTGTGATTTCTCCACAGTGTGCTCAAACGGAAGCTAGACCAGGGTTACAGGGAGACAGATGTGACACAGGTGAGGAGATCCAGTCAGTGGTGTGTCCTGGAGGCTGTAGACCAGGGTGGCAGGGGAGACAGGTGTGATACAGGTGAGGAGATCCAGTCAGTGGTGTGTGTCCTGGAGACTGTAGACCAGGGTGGCAGGGGAGACAAGTGTGATACAGGTGAGGAGATACAGTAAGTGGTGTGTGTCCTGGAGACTGTAGACCAGGGTGGCAGGGAAGATAGATGTAATGCAGGTGAGGAGATCCAATCAGTGCTGTGTGTGTCCTGGAGACTGTAGACCAGGGTGGCAGGGAGAGGTGTGATACAGGTGAGGGTGACTGAGGAGTCAGTGGTGTGTGTCCTGGAGGCTGTAGACCAGGGTGGCAGGGGAGACAGGTGTGATACAGGTGAGAGATCCAGTCAGTGGTGTGTGTCCCTGGAGGCTGTAGACCAGGTTGGCAGGGGAGACAAGTGTGATACAGGTGAGGAGCAGATGGAGTAGTAAGTGGTATGTGTTCTGGGAAACTGTAGACCAGAGGTGGCGGGTAGTCAAGTGTGATACAGGTGAGGTATTCAGTCAGTGGTGTGTGTTCTGGAGACTGTAGACCAGGGTGGCAGGGAGAGATGTGTGTAACAGGTGAGGAGATCCAGTCAGTGGTGTGTGTCCTGGAGACTGTAGACCAGGGTGGCAGGGAGAGACAGGTGTGTAACAGGTGAGGGAGATCCAGTCAGTGGTGTGTGTCCTGGAGACTGTAAACCAGGGTGGGTGGCAGGGAGACAGGTGTGCTTAACAGGTGAGGAGATCCAGTCAGTGGTGTGTGTGTCCTGGAGACTGTAGACCAGGGTGGCAGGGGAGACAGGTGTGAAACAGGTGAAGTGATTCAGTCAGTGGTGTGTGTACTGGAGACTGGGAGACCAGGTGGAAGGGAGTCAAGTGTGATATAGGTGAGGATATTCCAGTCAGTGGTGTGTGTCCTGGAATACTGTAGACCAGGGTGACAGGGAGTCAGGTGTGATACAGGTGAAGGGATCTAGTCAGTGGTGTGTGTCCTGGAGACTGTAAACCAGGGTGGCAGGGAGACAGGTGTGATACAGGTAAGGATATCCAGTCAGTGGTGTGTGACCTGGAGACTGTAGACCAGGGTGGCAGGGAGACAGGTGTGATACAGGTGAGGTGGAGATCCAGTCAGTGGTGTGTCCCTGGAGACTGTAGACCAGGGTGGCAGGGGAGACAGGTGTGAAACAGCTGAAGTGATTCAGTCAGTGGTGTCTGTACTGGAGACTGTAGACCAGGTGGAAGGGAGACAGGTGTGATACAGGCAAGAGGAGATCAAGTCAGTGGTGTGTGTCCCTGGAGACTGTAGACCAGGGTGGCAGGGAGACAGGTGTGACACAGGTGAGGATATCCAGTCAGTGGTGTGTGTCCTGGATACTGTAGACCAGGGTGGCAGGGGAGACAGGTGTGATACAGGTGAGGAGATCCAGTCAGTATTCTGTGTCCTGGAGACTGTAGACCAGGGTGACAAGGAGACAGGTGTGATATAGGTGAGGAGGTCCAGTCAGTGGTGTGTGTCCTGGAGACTGTAGACCAGGGTGGAAGGGAGACAGGTGTGATACAGATGAGGTAATCCAGTCAGTGGTGTGTGTCCTGGGGACTGTAGACCAGGGTGGCGGGAAGACAGGTGTAATATAGGTGAGGAGATTCAGTCAGTAGAGTGTGTGTCCTGGAGACTGTAGACCAGGGTGACAGGGGGCCTTAGACAGGTGTGATATAGGTGAGGAGATCCAGTCAGTTGTGTGTGTCCTGGAGACTGTAGACCAGGGTGGCAGGGAGACAGGTGTGATACAGGTGATGAGATCTCAGTCAGTGGTGTGTGTCCTGGGGCACACATGTAGACCAGGGTGACAGGGAGTCAGGTGTGATACAGGTGAAGGAGATCCAGTCAGTGGTGTGTGTCCTGGAGACTGTAAACCAGGGTGGCAGGGAGACAGGTGTGATACAGGTAAGGAGATCCAGTCAGTGGTGTGTGACCTGGAGACTGTAGACCAGGGTGTGCAGGGGAGACAGGTGTGATACAGGTGAGGAGATCCAGTCAGTGGTGTGTGTCCTGGGAGACTGTGACACAGGTGAGACCAGGGTGGCCTGGGACTGTAGACAGGTGTGAAACAGGTGAAGTGATTCCAGTCAGTTGTGTCTGTACTGGAGACTGTAGACCAGGTGGAAGGGAGACAGGTGTGATACAGGTGAAGGTGATCCAGTCAGTGATGTGTGTGTACTGGAGACTGTAGACCAGGGTGGCAGGGAGACAGGTGTGACACAGGTGAGGATATCCAGTGAGTTGTGTGTGTCCTGGATACTGTAGACCAGGGTGGCAGGGAGACAGGTGTGACACAGGTGAGGAGATCCAGTCAGTATGTGTGTCCCTGAGACTGTAGACCAGGGTGACAAGGGAGACAGGTGTGATATAGGTGAGGAGGAGTCCAGTCAGTGGTGTGTGTCCTGGAGACTGTAGACCAGGGTGGCAAGGGAGACAGGTGTGATACAGATGAGGTAATCCAGTCAGTGGTGTGTGTCCTGGAGACTGTAGACCAGGGTGGCGGGAAGACAGGTGTAATATAGGTGAGGAGATTCAGTCAGTGGTGTGTGTCCTGGAGACTGTAGACCAGGGTGACAGGGGGAGACAGGTGTGATATAGGTGAGGAGATCCAGTCAGTGATGTGTGTGTCCTGGAGACTGTAGACCAGGGTGGCGGGGAGACAGGTGTGATACAGGTGAGGGAGATTCAGTCAGTGGTGTGTGTCCTGGAGACTATAGACCAGGGTGGCAGGGAGGAGACAGGTACAGTGATACAGGTGGTGGTGATCCAGTCAGTGGTGTGTGTCCTGGTGACTGTAGACCCGGTTGCCAGGGGAGAGGGAGGTTGCATGGACAGGTTTCTGTTACCTGATACCCCGTGTCACCCCTTTTAAGTGTGTACGTAACTGTAATGACACGTTCAAAGTGAAAAGATCGAACTGATGTAAACCTACTTAGTTCATTGGGAACCGATGATATGTGTCAACCAATTCAGCCAGTCTGACCACCCAATCCCGTTAGTGGCCTCTTACGACAAGCATGAGTTGCTGAAGACCATTTCTAACCCAGACGTTCACGAGTTGTGATATTTGGAAGTCGCTGTACAGAAGAATCGATATATGTTCTATTTAAGTCGGCACCGAGCAAGAAAATAATTCCAGACCCCTTAAATTCGGCTATTGTAATATTATAATAATAATAGTTCATTTGTATAGCCCTGGTATCCATCTGTCTAGTTGCTCACTGGCGTATATGTAGGAGTAGAAGAGTGAGAGGGGACATGGCAAATATTGTAAGCAGTTCTCAACAGAAAAGTTTGATTAGGCTTTTAAAAGTGGATTCACAGATGGTGACTTTGGGTTCTGATGTAAAATGTTTCATAATTGAGGTGCAACAATGGAGAAGGCTCTGTCACCCATTTTGCTTGTGGAGACTGGTTGGGACAAGAGGAACTGATCGGAGAAGCTTGCTGGTGAGCTCTTTAAGGTAGAGAGGGCTGTTTTCCCTGTAGGGGGAGCTCGATGAGTCAGTAACAGAATTTTATAGAAGATACGCTGTTGAACTGACAACCAATGGAGAGATTCCTGAACTGGAGTGATGTGGTCAGTGCGTTGCTTGCGTGTAATCAATCTTGCAGCAGAATTTTGTACTCTTTGCAGACGTGATAGAATCGTTTTAGGGAGGTTGACAAGAAGAGAGTTACAGTAGTCGAGGCGGCTGATGATTTGTGTCGATCGAGTAAACACAGACAAAACAGGGATATCTCCACTACATGAAATGTTAGTTACAGTAACTCAGATTTACAGTGAATAAGGTGAGTGAGTTAAATTTGTACATCGCATCGGCAATATTACAGCCATATAGCAATGAAAACAAGGTAATCATTATAAAATATCTGGTAACAAAGGAAGTAAAACCAACTCGACTATCACATATATATACTTAAAACTAGTAATTAAATTTAAAATACTTTAACTATAGAGGACGATACAATATAACAACAGGCTATAGAACAACTGAAGGCAGATCACCATACTAGGGACCATGGGGGCTTACAGTACCTTTCCTACCTGCATGGACACCGGGAATAAGGAAGGTAAACCGCTGAGTTTTCTTTACGTCATACTTAATGTGTCAATGGTGGTGATATACACCTCCATCGAATAGGGCCGTCCCAGCTAACAAATACATAACAAATGAAGCTATTCCACTTCAAAAGGGTATATCATTAAGCTCTTCTGAGCAGTTCTGTGTACTGAAGCTTTATAAATAACTGTTCTTAATCACTGTATAAACTAAACCCAAATCTTTGAGTTCTTATACTTTCCGGAAGTATATTAATGTGCGCTTTGCTTTGTGAGACAGGTATACATTCAGATGGAGACAGGTTTTCCACAGCTCATGTCAAGCTTTAGGAAATTGCAATGTAGAAGGGTATTTTCAAAGCTGATTGTCAACGGTATGTGATACACAGCCTGTGATACTAATTTACAAATTCAACTCTTTTATAGATAAACTAATGTCAATACACTGACATAATTCGGAACTTTAATGCACGGTTTGTACTTCATGAGACTGAATGCAGAGTAAACGGACAGCGGAAATTAGGCGTGTTCATTTCATACTGCACACACAGAGGATATTTGTATGGAAAAAGCAGGAACAAAAGAATCCCTTTTCATTTTTTCGCAGATGCTAAAAGGTTGAACGTGATATATAGGACATACAACAAAATACATCATTTTAATGTGGCACAGATAATCAATATCCGTGAAGACTCGGTTTACACCTTTTGTTGTAGCTGACTGTTGTATCCCAAAGCGTACATTCATTGCACTGACGCTCTGCCCTCTAGAGAAACTGAACTGAAAATATTTTACTGAATGAAAAAGAAAACTGACTCAAACCTATCAGTATATAAATGTCCATAGTTTAATGGTCCATAAAATGATGTATTCTATGTGCGTTTAATCTATATTGATATTGAAAGCAATAGGTTTTGCAAACACTTCTTAAAATAGTATTATACGGCAGTTACAACCTCTGTAATGCAGAGTAAATGAGTATTTCTTTCACCGTGTATTTTAAAACCCCAACCTTTTAAAATGGATGAAATGGCGTCTCCCCTGGGATAACCCTTACGCCTAGTTGGGCGTAACAATTTATGTGTGGCAATGAATTGACTTGATAATATACCGTGTGAGGGTGACAAAACACGTAGTACGCACTAATCGCACCTGTTTAGATGCAGGCGTTATGCGACCTAGTCCCGGTGTATTTCACTTCCTTGTTGTCCAACATGGCGGATGTGAGGACACTGCTTCTATGGGCGGTGGTGACAGAGTGTTGGATACTGTTCATACTGGGTGAGTTTACTCCACTGCCTCTGTACTGATTCAATCTTTCTGTTTACCATGGTTTGTGTATATATGTATTCTATACAACATCACTGTCACTATCTTAAGTGAACAAATTTATAAAGAACGTTCCTATTTCTTCCTCCATCGATATTCACAACCATTTTCGGTCAGCTGATCTGACACAGCTCCACAGTAGGAACGATTGAATGGAAATTACGCAAACATTATCGATTAAAATTTTGATAATTGAAATAATGGAATGTACTTTTATGGGTTACAAAATACAAGACTTCAACAAAATTGAAAGTGTGTTAAAGATAGACGATAGAAACTCAGTGTGTATTTCCAGCTTTATATGGATTACAGAGAGCCTGAAAACGCTTTATATATATATATATATATATATATATATATATATATATATATATATATATCACCGTTCAGAATGACAGAATCTTTTCTCTCAAATTGGGCTTGGCTAGGGTGACCAATTCCGTTGTATCAAGAGGACTATCCTAAGGCATATATTCTGATGAAATAGAAGCATGACCATTTGTGATAAGTATATATATATATACACACACATACGAGATACCGTGGCAGAATCTAGTCATGAAATGAAAATAGAATATATATATATATATATATATATATATATATATATATATATATATATATATATATATAGACACACACATACGAGATACCGTGGCAGAATCTAGTCATGAAATGAAAATAGAATATGTCAGGGTGTATTTCTGAAAGGTGCAGGTTCCGGCGAACGGTGATTAAATATGACCAATAATAAGGCTGTCAGTGACATGTTTGGTTGAATGTGAAACATATCAAAACTTTATATATTTTCAAATATGATTTATGAGGGGTAAGCCACGTTTATGATTATTTATTGTGAACTGACAGGTATGAGGAAATTGGTTTTGCGTCTCAACTATGTTGCTCAAGGCAAACACTATTAAATCGACACATTCTCTAATTGTTTGGATACAAGAATCATGGCGTTTCAGGAAATCTGTCACTACACCAACGACATGTGGACGGGCATTATCTTGCTGAAGCGTGAAGTTACACACGCTTCTCTGTCTCTTGGGTGAATGGCTGCACATGAAGCCCAATGATCTCATCTGTGTATCGCAGACCTTTCAGTTTGCCATTGACAATGACAAGTTGTGTCCGACCATGAGATGTGATGCTTCAACATACCATAACGTTGTCACCACAAAACTGTTAAACGACGCACGCGTCAGCATACCGTTCACTTCGCCGTCCGTACACCTTTGCCCTGCCATCTGAGCTGTCAAGATGAAAGCTCGACTCGTCAGTGAACAAAACACCATCCCAATCTTGTATCCTGTAGATGTCCGCACACGGCAAAAGTGCCTGTTGGTGACTTTGGGGCAAACATTGCGGGTACTAGACGGTCGAGGCCGGATATTGTCCTCCATCTGTCGGTTCGGTACAGTCCTGGAACTGATTGGACGTAAGCAAGGAATGGTCCGAGCAGTCAAACGGACAGTCTGGAGTCGATTCCTTGGATGGATCAGCCGAATGTGGTTGTTTTGCTGAAATGATATCACCCGTGGCTGGCCGAGGTCCGTGGCAAATCTCTCGTGTTCCCATTATGTTGAGAACGTCTCCATAGAGATGAGATCGTGTTTCGATAGACACCAAAACATCTGGCCATTTCACTTTGGGCTCTCTCGCATACACACGTCGCGGAGACGCTGATTTTCTGTAAACCGTGGCATGACGTACGCACAGTTTAGGTTGAAATCAACTTCTCAGAGCAACAATCAGGCATTAACTTTCATGAAAGCACTTTGCTAAATGTTTAAATATAAATGTATTTTTATAACTTTCAAATAACTTTCATTTTATGCAATTTTAAGTTGTGCATAGTTACTTTTTTCCGTTAGTATATAAGGCGAATCAAATAGGTGGGACAAGCATGCATAATCTAAAAGACAATGATCCTTGAGAGAAAACAGCTGTCGTTGTGGATGCAATAAACGATGTCGTCTGGAGCATTTTGCAAGACATCAACCGCCATGATCTCATCGATCAGAGCTGTATCTCTTTATTACCAGTCCAGGGCGATGCATACAACTTCTTGGGAAAGAACAATGAACTCTCCACCGAACACAGTAGAAACAACAAGTTACATCTGTTCAAATGCTTTGAGACAGAACAGAACAGAAGGTGGCATGTGTCGCCCTCTGCCACGGCTATGCAGCAGTAGGGCGACGCATTGTAACAGCGCTATATATTAACTAAAATAAGTTAAAATAAGTTGAATTATGCATCATGGCACACCGCATTTCATTATTTGTAATCCAGGACATGTGTGTTTTGGAGCAAGGGAAAATATTCAAATGCCTTTGCCCGTGGGCGAAATATATTAAGACCGCTATAAATTAGTTGAATAAAGTTAAGATATGTTGAATTTTGTGTGATATTACTTGCAAACAAACTTTCATATATATGCAGCTCCGAAAACTTGTTTCTTTCATCTTCAGTATATATCCATGAAAACATAGCTCTATCGACTCTGCCCCGTGTTTTAAAAATATATGGAGATGGAACTGAGCACAAACAGGATGTGGGAAAGAATTGATCAATCCAAAACCAGAGCAGCAAAAACGACATTTAAACTGGTGTTTGGAGCATAGAAAATCCAATTGGGACAATGTTATATTCTCAGATGAAAGCTCTGTGTAACTACAGCCAAACTGCATAAAATGATAAAAGGTACAAAGAATACATTCACCAGATGGGTGCAAAGTACTGTTTAAAGTTTCATATACACATGAACATAAATAAAGTACGAGGAGGAGAGTGCTGGCTGTCATACAGTCACATGCAGGTTACACTCGGTATTGACCTTGCATCGTGGAAGACACGCAAAATGACATTATGAATGTTCACACTCACCAATAAATTCAACGATAATCATTCCAGGGCCATACTTGAACTGACATGGCGTTACATGAAAATAAGAGTGGTTCTTTTAAATGAGCAATTAGCATCATGAAATCAACATGGATTCTAATCAGCTTGCCGTATGAGTGAAAGGATCATACTAGTCAGAAATGGTCACCATGGGAAGTTTTATGTATGTGTTGAAAACCTATCATTGAATAAATACAGAGGGGTTCTTAATTAAGTTCTTTGTGTATATATTAAAAAGAATTCCTCCAGGGGTAATGAAGTCTTGTCGTTGTCATTGTTATAGCCATCCCTCGCGCGGGTAACACCTGCAAATCATCCCCTCGTACCTGCAGTCGAATTCTCAGCACTGGACTCCCTGCCATACCTCATTGAGTGCTTGTGTCCATTCCTGCAGAGTATAATCTCTAGCTCGAACTTGGCGTCCAAGATAGCCGCAAAGATAATCTATGGGCTCATATCGGGTCTCCTTGGCTATGGTATTATGTTTGACTGCGTTGTTCTGCAAATGGGCGATGATGGCTCGAGAGCGACGAGTCATCAGTGGTGCACATACTGCAAAGTTATGAAAATAAACCCAACTGTACTTTTGAACATGTGACCCACAGCCATTGAGATATTGTGTGGCGCATGTGTTTTAACCTGTTTAACCTGTAAATGCTATGTATGATCGCCTGTTCGGACCAAAATTGCAATGCCCGCCTTGGATTTAGTCGTTGAATTAATGCTAATGTGTGTACGTACGTTGGAGTGTCTGTTTTGTGTATCTGAAGGCAACACGTGAACACAAATGAAGTGTTCACTGGTTTTCTACAGGGACATCTCCACCTGTAGCAAACGTTTGTATCCTGACGGATGGGCATTCCATCGAGATCCAGTATAGAGCGAGAAGCATTGTCATCAACGCTTTGTAAAGCAAGATGTTACATCTGAAGTGGTGATCATAAGATACTGGATATTGGAAAATATGGTTTTCCCCCGCCTCATTGAAGCATGTATTAAGGAATTGTTGCCTGTAGTGTTTGGTGGACAATCCTACTTTCCAAAAGAACCACGGAAGAATAATTCGTCGAATTGATTGTGATCTTAACTACTAACACTTCTTCTGTCAGGGTCCTGTCCAGCAGGAAGTTTGGAGATGCGTGTAGTTACAGCTGCCACTGTGGACATTCCTTTAACCAGACAACTGGAGTTTGTGGAGGTAATTGCGATCCAGGCTGGCTGGGATTAACCTGTCAAAAAAGGTATGATGTTTCGATATTTGGAAAAAGTAGTCCAAGAATGTTATTTAACATGTAAACTGGCCATATATATTGAAAAGTGACTTGATTGTTGTAACTTACAAGTACATCATCTTGTACGTGTTGAAAAAACAACCCAAACACATATAAAGCGTACCCAAACGTTGACAGCGCCTCACGTAGACGATTCTGTCGATGTTGACTGCTTCATGACATTCACCAAAATGGTCGATAGGTCCGGATACCAATAACACTCATTCGTCTCATCATCATGGTGCTCCTGTTGACGATACCCTCACTGTTGATGGTGATGAGGTCACTGTGAACATCTGGTTGCGCAGATGAAAAATGCGCAGGTGAAGGTAATCTTTCTGGGTGGCCACTCAACGTCTTCCACTTCTGGGACTGTCAGATGTCTGGCTGACGTGTTTCATTAGTGTGATGATGGTCTGTCTTGTACAGCCGAATTGGCAATATGGTTGTTCGAAGTCGACATCTACAACATCATCACACAATTCTCACTGCTTATATGTATGGCGTTTTGATGTGCCTTTAACAGTATGTAAAAACTTAACGCAAAACGTAAAAAATAACGCAATATGTAAAAAATTAACGCCAAATGTAAAAAATGTCTTTAACACAATATGTAAACACCTAACGCAAAATGTAAAAACAATTTTTAACGCAATATCTAAAAGACTAACGTAAAATGCAGCTTTATTGTTTACAAGTCTTGGCGACTGAAATTCATTTTTTAAGAAACTTTACTTTATTGTTTTTCAAAATAACTAAGCTATTGCAATGATTATGTCAAAATTAACCTCAATTCTAACTTAATTAATATCTGATCTTTTGGGTCATTTAACATCAAAGTAAAGCTGATTATGGTAGAATGTGTTATATACATGTATAGCGATGCTGGATATCATAATCTATATTCGACAGTATCCAAGGAAATCATTTTATTCTTCATAGTATTTTTACATGAATAGTCATATGGGTTGTATTCATTATGCTCTATTCAAGGAGGTTTTACCTTTTGGCCTTTTTTTAGCGCAAAGTTGGGGATATAAAATTACCCTCCATCCGTCCGTCAGTCTGTCCGTCCAAACAACTGGTATCTCAAGAGTGGTTTATCAATTTGTAATGATATTGGGTACGGTAACCAAGGTTCAACATGGAATTCTGCAGATATCATTTTGTTTTGGTTGTCTCTTTTTCTTTTCATTGTTTTTGTTGAGAGTCCAGTTTTGTTTTCAGATTTGTCCTATTTAGTGGTGAATTAATAGCAAAACATTTTCCTTTATGGAGTTAATGTATTAGCTACTTTTCTTGGTGGACAGACAAATAGTTTGGTTTTGATCTCACCTCAAAATACACAAATGAAATGCAACAAATCCTGATAAAAAGTTTGAGCCATCCCATAGGAGTTACGAGAGACTTGGTACTTTGTTTCAGAAACACTTTGAATGAATTTAAAAGAAAATATCATATTTATCATGATGTATTTACATATACTATATTACTCCAAAATGTAAAAAAATTACTGTATGAGTATAGATGTGTCGCTGGACACAAATGTCTTTGATTTAGAAATGGTAAATCCATCTTGCAGTTTTGGTTATAATGGACATGCAAAATGCATCGCAGTGATTCAGACATTTTCCATTCCAGTCATATCTGATTTCCTTCAATCAAGTCTCAGCTAATATTGCTGCCAAAGAAATCGAGTAATACCAGAGACATTTAAGACTGGGTCCCGATGTTGATCGCTCAAATTTAATGAAATAAAGTTATTGTATTTGATACAATTTAAGTAATATGGAATATTGATGTAAATGGGTAGCAGGACTTGTTATTCAAGGTTTAAAAAAACTGAATCCATCAAAAATGACATAGTATCAAAAATTAGTACAAATGGAACCAGTTATTCTGTTGTTTATCTAAATGGAGACATCTCAGTGTAATTTACGTCTTCAATATCTGAAATATATATATGAAATGGTGTTTGACCTTATTAATTAACTCACCTACGGGACACATGATGATCACCTGGTTCTCACTGTTGTATCAAAAATGTTATGATAGAGGAGAGATTTTTTTATGTTAACGGAACAGTGACACAAGTTTCCCCCAAAGAGATTCTACCCGGACAGAGTCCAGTGATATATCTTAGCTACTTTCCTGAAAATGAAGGGAAACACTACATGAGTCCAAATCCAACTGATCAAATTAAGAGTAAAACAGGTAGAATGGCCAAAGAGAGAAGTAGCACAGTTCAGTTCGACCGTTGGACAGAAAGTGGACCAGAGCAATGGGACAGTGAGAGAGAAAGTGGCCCAGAACAATGGGACAGTGAGAGTGAAAGTAGTCCAGAACAATGGGACAGTGAGAGTGAAAGTAGTCCAGAACAATGGGACAGTGAGAGTGAAAGTAGTCCAGAACAATGGGACAGTGAGAGTGAAAGTAGTCCAGAGCAATGGGACAGTGAGAGAGAAAGTGGCCCAGAACAATGGGACAGTGAGAGAGAAAGTGGACTCATGTAGAAACACTACATGAGTCCAAATCCAACTGATCAAATTAAGAGTAAAACAGGTAGAATGGCCAAAGAGAGAAGTAGCACAGTTCAGTTCGACCGTTGGACAGAAAGTGGACCAGAGCAATGGGACAGTGAGAGAGAAAGTGGCCCAGAACAATGGGACAGTGAGAGTGAAAGTAGTCCAGAACAATGGGACAGTGAGAGTGAAACTAGTCCAGAACAATGGGACAGTGAGAGTGAAAGTAGTCCAGAGCAATGGGACAGTGAGAGTGAAAGTGGCCCAGAACAATGGGACAGTGAGAGAGAAAGTAGTCCAGAACAATGGGACAGTGAGAGAGAAAGTGGCCCAGAACAATGGGACAGTGAGAGTGAAAGTAGTCCAGAACAATGGGACAGTGAGAGTGAAAGTAGTCCAGAACAATGGGACAGTGAGAGAGAAAGTGGCCCAGAACAATGGGACAGTGAGAGTGAAAGTAGTCCAGAACAATGGGACAGTGAGAGAGAAAGTGGCCCAGACAGTGAGAGAGAAAGTGGCAATGGGACAGTGAGAGAGAAAGTGGTCAAGAACAGTTGGACAGTGAGAGTGAAAGTAGTCCAGAGCAATGGGGCAGTGAGAGTGAAAGTAGTCCAGAGCAATGGGACAGTGAGAGAGAAAGTAGTCCAGAACAATGGGACAGTGAGAGTGAAAGTGGCCCAGAACAATGGGACAGTGAGAGTGAAAGTAGTCCAGAACAATGGGACAGTGAGAGAGAAAGTGGCCCAGAACAATGGGACAGTGAGAGAGAAAGTGGTCAAGAACAGTTGGACAGTGAGAGTGAAAGTAGTCCAGAGCAATGGGGCAGTGAGAGTGAAAGTAGTCCAGAGCAATGGGACAGTGAGAGAGAAAGTAGTCCAGAGCAATGGGACAGTGAGAGAGAAAGTGGTCAAGAACAGTGGAACAGTGAGAGAGAAAGTGTCCTAGAACAATGGGACAGTGAGAGAGAAAGTAGCCCAGAACAATGGGACAGTGAGAGAGAAAGTGGTCAAGAACAGTTGGACAGTGAGAGTGAAAGTAGCCCAGAACAATGGGACAGTGAGAGATAAAGTAGTCCAGAGCAATGGGACAGTGAGAGTGAAAGTAATATCTTAGTTTTCGCAAATAAAGTCATTTTTTGCCAAATTTGTATAAGAAAATGGATTTCGGTTGCCACCCCTAATATTCAAACCTAAAACTGGATTTTACAGATTGCGTTAAGTTTATACATATCAAGTTAAAAATTGTTTTTACATTTTGCGTTAGGTGTTGTACTTTTTGCGTTAAAACCATCTTTTTACATATTGCGTTAATTTTTTACATATTGCGTTGTTTTGTACGTTTTGCGTTAAGGTTTTACATATTGCGTCAGTTTTTACATATTGTCTTTATTTTACATATTGGGGTTGTACAAGGCTTCTTGTGTTACATGTGCTTTGTTTGGGGCAATACTGAAGTCAGTGAAACTCTCAGGAGACAAGGTGCCAAACATGGTCACCGATCCAAGAACTCCAAGCTTGTTTAACTTCAACTGATTTGTGAACTGTGCTATTTGGACCACACACAACCACAGAATCCTATTATCCAATTCCAGAACTGCCCTGAATGTGCTTCTATGTCAGCACCTAAGTGGTAAATGTCAGAAACTTGTCAGTTCAGGCCAGTTCACATTATTTTGATACAACACCTGGTAAAATTGAATTTGTTTTATTCAAATAGGCCTTAAAATGAACTCATTCTTTCAACAAACTTCTCACGGAACTGCCAACATCAGTGTTTTGGTTGCGACATCCCAAACAAGCCAACGCAGCCATGCTCAGAAGAAGGGACGAAGGCAAACGATACCATTCATTTCCAAGATCACCTTCGGGAACCACTGGGACTGCACAAAGAAAACATACAAATCACTGAAATAAACTGACTTAATGCTTATTGTTCAGTTGGTGAGTCTAGTTTTGATAATTCTTTGTAATGTTTGGCCAAACTAGGAAATGGCTGCTAAAGGGTAATGTTCTTGGACAAAAAATAGGTTTTCCCCCCAAACGTTTCACAATATTTCAAATTTCAGGAACCACCAACAATTTCATTTTCCGATATACAAACACAATATGTCACCCAAGTTGTTAAACTATGGTAAAGTGTTGCAGAAAGCTCATGATGTAGATTGCACTATTGGTGACTGCCAAGACCCATCATACTGCTGACGATCTGGAGTTCATATAATCCCCGGTAACTGCGCAAAATGTTTACCAGTCGGGATCTATAAATCATTATGCAAAAATGTGCCAAAGGAAAAGGAAAACCTATTGAATGTTGTTCAGAGTGGGTTAAGTCAGTGCGTGATTCTGTCCTTATAGTGTTCAGACTTGCAAAGAGGAAACAGAAGCACCATTTGTAACACATATTTTACTCGGTAAACCAACAAGATATCTGGTGTTGAAATTTGGTAAAGATTTACTTACAAACTGAGAGGTATACACAAACACGTGCATACCAACAATGCCGGAACCAACGTGATTGCCAAATAGTTCTCAAATAATGATTGTTTGATTGTAAGAACTAATACTGGTGACCCCATCAGTACCTAGTGGAGCCACCCCTCCCAAGGATAACATCTGCCAGTGTCCTCCTCATACTGCCAATCAAGTTTAGAATTCTCAGCACACGAAGTGCTTGCGTTAATCTCTGCAGAGTTTTAACAAGTGGATCTCTAACTTGGCGTATAGTCTATAGATAGTCACAGAAATGGGGTTCACATCGATGCTCTTGAGGGCAATGGTAATGTTTCGATGTCGTTGCCCTGTAAATGGGCGCGGACGGCTCGATAACGGTAAGGTCCAGCCTTGTCCTCATGACTATCGCACGACTGGCAAGGGAATGGTTTTCAAAATGTGGTACGACAGCGGTATCAAGTTCTTGACCATTGAGTGTCCAAGGTACTGTAATGAGATCCAACTTACAGTATTACGAAACTGAGCAACCACCAAAGGATTTAGCTGCATGAATCATCTTCTGGTGATCTCCATGTGCAAAACGGCCCTTGGTACCTATGAACCCTTCGCCATGTCCTCTAATTGCTGTTTTCTCGGAGCCTGAACCACGCCAGACGTTCCTGGATGTCTGTCAGTGATGAGGAGGGAGCGTCTGATCGACCAGCAGCCCGTTGCCTCCTTCTGATGGTTCTGGTGGAGAGTTCCACTGCCGGCTCTGTTCATTGACATGGGTGATAGGACTGAATATTGTCAGAGGAATTAGGGCTCGGTCACGGTCACTGGTCTTCGTGCATGGTTCTTACAGTTCTTTGACCATCCCTTACCTCTTATGGCCACATGCTTCCTCACAAGTCGATTGGGCATGACTTGGACCATGTGTCCTCGTGATTCTTTCCCGTTGAAAAACTTTAATTGCGTTTGCAGATTTTTGTGATGGTTGCAGCTGTCTGAGGAGCGAGTTTGGGAAGACTTGGTATCATTACGCTGATTCATAAACACGGAAAAAGTCGGAATTATATGATCAACGCTGTTTAGCAGAGATTTCTTTGAATTTGGGAAGAGTTTTTTCGAATTTATTTATTTATTTATTTATTTATTTATTTGTAAACAATTCATAATATTTAATTAACAATTAATTATTAATCAAATTAACAGTACCACAGGTTACCGCTTACTCCCCACCCCCTCCACGTTCCCACCACAGCCCACGACATTGTTTCTTCCAGTTAAAGACGTTTTTATCTGAAGCAGTCCGAGATAGTGTCGAGTTTCTCTACATCACTTCCCGCTAATTACCTACAAGGAAACCAGAGCCTGTGTCTCCATCAGTCCCACAGCTGGTCGGGGGGACAACGCGTGCTTGCAGTGCCTGACAATGTGTATTGTAGACCTGGAAGTTCTGTGTTCTGTGTAGGGGAGTTGTGAGACACTTGTTGACAATGTGGTGGCTTTTCTTCCTGATTGTCGGATTAGGGACGTGTCAATACGCACAGGCGGATTATGGAGACGAGGTTGTAGATGTAAGTTGAAATATTCTTTTAAGGTTTATTCAATAAGGAAATTGTGTGACTATTTAATGTACTCTGATGTCATTTTCGGTGAATGTGCTCTGCTTAACAAGATACAAGGCATCAAAACTAACCCTGCTTAGTGGAGTGAGTTGGTGAGTATAGTTTTACGCTGCCTTTAGCAATATTCCAGCAATATCCAGAAATGGGCTTCACACATTGTACCCATGTGGGGAATCGAACTCGTGTCTTCGGCGTGACGAGCGAACGCTTTAACCACTAGGCTACCCCACAGCCTCGTGTATAGTGGACATGATGCGCACTGCAAAGGTTGAATATATGATGACCCGTGGTCAGAGTAGAAGGTGACTCAGAAGTTCAGAGTTTTCCCACGCTATACACTCTATGCAAGCTACACTGACCATGCCTGACTGCTAACCGACGGTTGGTCAGTAAGTGTATTCGTGAATATTGAAAACCAATAATTATTAATTGTATGAATGCATCGGATGATAATGTACTGGCCCCAAGTTCTCGAAACAAACTTAAGTTTTTACTCAAATTTCAATCTGAGTTGGACAATTTGAAACAGCTGAATTTTTAACTCAACTGCATTTTTTTAAATAAGAGCCCAAACAACTTAAGTAATCTATCCACCAAACAAAAATTGTCTACTATGTTTGAGTTTAATATCGATTTTAGTTCATTATGGGAAATGTATTTTTTCAAATTTGAGTAAAAACTCAGATTTAAGTTTGTTTCGAGAAGTCAGGGCCAGGTCGCCCTATACAGCTTGGATATCGATGACTGCGACATAAAACAGTATCAACCATGATTACACAATATGAAGTGAGGAGAATGTTGTTTAACGTCCAGCGTATGATTGTTGCATTTACACAGTAATGTGTTTGCTTTTTTTTGGTACTAACCAGGGTCCCGAACCACAAAGCGTTCGTAACGTTACTTCTTGTCTTAACTCTACAGTTTATCATAGGCTTATGAACGAACGTTTTGTTGAATAGGGACCCCTGGACCATTGCCGGTTATATTGTGCACGTTCAAAGTAGATAAATACCACCCATCGGTCCTGGTAGAATTTATACAAATGCTCTGAAAACTGAACTCGTATAGTTTCCTTATTCCGAGGACAATACACTGTGTTCTTGTGTTCCCGCTTCAACACAGTCCCTGTACAGGAAACGATTCCCATTTCGTCTCCCAGGAAACCATTATTGGCTCAAGTTACTTCAAAAGAGATGTCAGCCAATTGCGCATTTCAGTTGCAAGTTAAGTAAGGCTGTAGATGGTTTACACATGCAGAGCGGTACAACAGGTGCGTGGAGAGCTTTAGAACTGACGTGTTTCTTTCACTAACAAACGTGACGTCCACGTGATTGCTCAGAATATTTATTGCTTCTTGAAACCTTGTTGGCCTCTGAGGGAACTGTGTGTGTACCAGAAGCCTTACTTAGTATTTGTTTAAACAAAGTTGTGTGCAGTTCAGCTAAAGATTATGGGACCGTGTGTAAAATATGGACATTATAAGTCTTTGATATATGCCTGCCAGTAAAGTTGCAAATGTATATGAATATGTTCTTTAAGAAGAAAACTATTCTGTATCCTATTGCTACAGCTCTATTCTGTAACGTATGTATTGGAATCATGAACTGTCAAAATACAGGTTTGGCACCGACATGTGTTCACTGAAACAGTCGAGTAAACAGTCAGAGTTAACGAAAGCGCCATGTTGAGAAGCTTATTTTCGTACACGTAACACAGAGGTGGACTGAACAACGCCCTTGGTCCTTGAAGATCGTCACTGGACAGTCTAGAGTGACACCCCCTGATGGTGCATGACTAAGTGGGTGCATATTATTTAACGCCGCAGTCTAGACACATTCCATGGGTCTGTAAATGTTAGGACATTGGGAAGACGAACCACTGTTAGAAAAGTTGAATGTCGGGTAACATGCTCCGTGTTGTGAAATATGTGAGTGAGTTTAGTTTTACGCCGCACTCAGCAATATTCCAGCTACATTGCGGCGGTGAAACGAAGAGACTCTGCGATTGTAACTTTCTTATAGTTTATGCACATCCACGTTTTTACTGTAGACTCGTGATCTGTCGTTGTAGCTTGGCATATATAACACACGTGTTCGAGGCAATATATTAAAGATGTCCTAAGTCCACGACCCCATATGCTGGTCAACTGACCGTGGAAAAGTTTCGCAGCAAATGCATCAAAATATGGAAACTATTCTGCAAATACCCTGCATGGCTACCTGACCGTGATCCACCAAGGAATCAGAAGCTGTGACAAGAGACACATTTACATTAGTTTGTTTGTTTGTTTGTTTGTAGGGCAGCACGACGGGACCACTGTTCCAACTGACAGGGGCGGATAACCTCCCTCCCCACAACAATCCGTTCGTCTACTGGCCTGACCAGCAACACAATGAAGGTACGTCATTCCGTGGGGTGTCATGTTTTCCCCGACCTTCAGGACAAACCGAAAAAACACAATTATGTCCAGTCATACTCGTGATGACGTCATACTCTCGATGTCGTCATATAAAACAATTAATATGTATACTGGTTTGATCGAAAGTCTTGAGTGAAAACTGAAGCGGAACGTGAGGAGAAATGTGGTTTGATCGAAAGTCTTGAGTGAAAACTGAAGCGGAACGTGAGGAGAAATGTTTACGTACCTGCGTCTGTGCGTGCGTGCGTGCGGTGGGGGTGGGACGCTGCTTGGTCTTATCCACAGAAATGTATGTTTGATAGTGATAGCCCTCTGAGTAACCACACGGCAGATCAACATGGATACTCCCAACTCAGTATACGGTATGCTGACTCCAAACTTTGTCACCTTAATACCTAGCACTACACGCTGAATCAACAAGTATCACCTTGTACGGTTGATGTGATTGTAGGTGGATAAAAACATGATGAGAGTGGATAGTTGAGGAATATAGAGCACACGATACTGTCACAGTCGAGCATCGCTATGATTAAGTCGGATGTGTCGATTTCTCTGTTGACTGAACACGCCATACTCTTTTGATTGTTGTTTGTAATACGTTTCGCATGTGTCAACCACTAGGATCAGCTGAACGTCTGAGTTAACTTTGATTTCGACACAACAGTTTTAAAGTATATTCGTCTATCACGGGTTTGTCTGGTCCAGATTTGATTATTTGCAGGCCGTCGTCATATAGCTGGAATATTACTCAGTGTTTTGTTTTAAACATCAAACAAATCAACTGTCTCTACGTCTTTTCACAGATGAAAACAACATTCTGAACCCGTTCTTTGACGAGTGTGTGGAGGAGAGTAACATATGTGACCAGGTGTGCTACAGGGCGGGGCCGGACACACAGATTTGTGACTGCTACCAGGGCTTCTCACTCATGCTGGACGGAGCGTCGTGTAGAGGTGGGTACCCGGTAGGAACTCTGCAGGTGCATGTGGGCGAGAGTAAGAGTGATAAGATGAGTGTGCCAGATTAGTCGTGTTCCATTTATAAGCTTTAGTGATTGATTGATATTTCTTAGCATCAGATAGTTATTTATTACACGGTTTCTTTTGCTGGTCTATGTGAGGTTTTTCCCCAATCCACGTGTGGTATATATCATACTAAAGGTACCCGTGAGAACCGTGTTAGAATTGGTCTTCAGCAACCCATACTTGTCGTAAGAGGCAAGTGACGGGATCGGGTGATCAGGCTCGCTGACTTGGTTGACATATGTCATGCTATCCCAAATGCTCCCGGGGCGGTGGGATAGCCTAGTGGTTAAAGCGTAGGCTCTTCACGCCGAAAACCCGGGTTCGATTCCCCACATGGGTACAATGTGTGAAGCCCATTTCTGGTGTCCCCCGCCGTGATATTGCTGGAATATTGCTAAAAGCGGCGTAAAACTAAACTCAATCACTCACACACTCAATTGCTCCCGATAGATCGATGCGCATGCTCGATTATTTAAAGACCGCCGCCATATAGCTGTAATATTGCTGAGCGCGGCGTAAAACAACACTCAAACAAACATACTAAAGGCCACCACAATGGTACGAGGGTTACCATTTACCAACTATGACCCATTCCTGTTAATTATTTTTACTCACAGCACTGGTATCAGCTTGTAAAGGTTTGGTGTTTTAAATTTCGATTTCAGTGACATCGGAACGGATAAAACTTGAACTCGTAACATCAAACATGCGGCAAACAAAACTGGACCAGGGTTTGGGGTGTAATAGTGGGGATAGGTGACTTTGAATGATGGCTATCGTACTATCCAGTCTGATTTTCAGGCGTTCTCTTTGCCCATTATTTGGAATAGGTAGCTCTATTTTCTAAAGTAGGAGTAATTCTCTGTGCTAAGGAACCTCAGTTCGTAAAGCAGAGTTGCATGATCCGCTTTCACCCCAATTGTTATCTGTGTCTTTCTGAAACTATTATCTGCATTGTCTCTCAGCTGGTAATCGTGTAAGACTAGCTTTCCTGGCCCATTAAGCTGAAACAGTGATGTGGTTCCTGAAACACTGTTCAACTAGGCGTGAACTCACCCACCCACCAGGGATGCCTCTACAGCTGACCTGTTCCCCCAGTGAAAGGTTCAGTGTGGTCGGGAACGAAACGAGCGTATTACCATACTTCCTACTGTTAAGGGGGCGGTTGGGTAGCCTAGTGGTGAAAGCGTCCGCTCGTCACGCCGAAGACCCGGGTTCGATTCCCCAGATGGGCACAATGTGTGAATCCCATTTCTGGTGTCCCCCGCCGTGATATTGCTGGAATATTGCTAAAAGCGGCGTAAAACCATACTCACTCACTCCTACTGTTGAGTACCAAGGGCATCGTGGCTACGTTGCACTAAGGTATCTTAGCAACACGACTGTCGTAAGCTATATTAAAGTATAGGAGATTCTATTCCCTATAAGCTGAGATAGCTTGGTGCAACGGGGCCCTAGTTTTGTACCAATTGCATGGGCATACATTTACGTTTTATCTTGCATCAAGTTATTGTGCATTTCCGTCGAGTTTCGTGCATTGTGTCCTGTATAAACACAGATGTGGACGAATGTGAGGATGGCTACTGCGGTCAGTACGGTCAGTGTGTCAACACCATGGGCTCCTTTATCTGTACGTGTGAACCCGGCTTCTACCTCAACAACGACAACTTGTGTACAGGTAACGACAGCTTGTGTACAGGTAATGACAACTTGTGTAGGTAACGACAACTTTTGTACAGGTAACGACAACTTGTGTACAGGTAAATACAACATGTCTACAGGTAGCGACAACTTGTGTACAGGTAATGACAACTTGTGTACAGGTAACGACAACTTGTGTACATGTAATGACAACTTGTGTAGGTAATGACAGCTTGTGTACAGGTAACGACAGCTTGTGTACATGTAATGACAACTTGTGTAGGTAACGACAGCTTGTGTACAGGTAATAACAACTTGTGTACAGATAATGACAACTTGTGTAGGTAACGACAGCTTCTGTACAGGTAATGACAACTTGTGTACAGGTAATGACAACTTGTGTACAGGTAATGACAACTTGTGTAGGTAACGACAGCTTGTGTACAGGTAATGACAACTTGTGTAGGTAACGACAGCTTGTGTAGGTAACGACAACCTTTGTACAGGTAACGACAACTTGTGTACAGGTAAATACAACATGTCTACAGGTAGCGACAACTTGTGTACAGGTAAATACAACATGTCTACAGGTAGCGACAGCTTGTGTACAGGTAATGACAACTTGTGTAGGTAACTACAGCTTGTGTACAGGTAATGACAACTTGTGTACAGGTAACAACGTGTGTACAGGTAATGACAACTTGTGTAGGTAACGACAGCTTGTGTACAGGTAATGACAGCTTGTGTACAGGTAATGACAATTTGTGTAAGTAACGACAGCTTGTGTACAGGTAATGACAACTTGTGTACAGGTAACAACGTATGTACAGGTAATGACAACTTGTGCACAGGTAATGGCAACTTGTGTAGGTAACGACAACTTGTGTACAGGTAACAACTTGTGTACAGGTAATGACAGCTTGTGTACAGATAATGACAACTTGTGTAGGTAACGACAGCTTGTGTACAGGTAATGACAACTTGTGTACAGGTAACAACTTGTGTACAGATAATAACAACTTGTGTAGGTAACGACAGCTTGTGTACAGATAATGACAACTTGTGTAGGTAACGACAGCTTGTGTACAGGTAACGGCAACTTGTGCACAGGTAATGGCAACTTGTGTAGGTAACGACAGCTTGTGTAGAGGTAACATCTTGTGATGGTCACACCAACCTGTGTAGGTAACGACAACATGTGTACAGGTATCGACAACTAATGTGCAGGTAACGACACCTTGTGTAGTAAACAGCAACTTGTGTACAGATAGTGACAATATGTGTACAGGTAACGACAACTTGTGTACAGGTAATGAAAACGTGTGTAGGTATCGACAACATGTGTACAGGTAACGACAACTTGTGTACAGGTAACGACGACTTGTGTATAGGTAATGGCAACTTGTGTAGGTATCGACAACATGTGTACAGGTAACGACAGCTTGTGTACATGTAATGAAAACGTGTGTAGGTATCGACAACTTGTGTACAGGTAGCGACAACTTGTGTACAGGTAATGACAACATGTGTACAGGTAACGACAACTTGTGTACATGTAACGACAACTTGTGCAGATAACGACACTTTGTGTACAGGTCACCTTGGGAATTACAGGAGAGTAGGTCCCCAGCAACCTGTGCTGGTCGTAAGAGATGTTTTAAAGGATTGAGCGGTGCTCGTACACCGAAAGCGTGGATCGTTGTTCATTACATCAATCACCAGGTGTTCTGGTATTTACAGACCGCCGTCATATAGCTGAAACAACGCCGACGTTTTAACTTTATCTCAAGCAAACAAACAAATATGGTGTAGAAATATGTCAACGTGGTCATGTGTTGGTGTAGAAATATGTCAACGTGGCCATGTGTTGGTGTTGCAAGATGTCAACGTGGCCATGTGTTGGTGTTGCAAGATGTCAACGTGGCCATGTGTTGGTGTGGAAATATGTCAACGTGGTCATGTGTTGATGTAGAAATGTGTCAACGTGGTCATGTGTTGATGTAGAAATATGTCAACGTGGTCATGTGTTGGTGTTGCAAGATGTCAACGTGGCCATGTGTTGGTGTTGCAAGATGTCAACGTGGCCATGTGTTGGTGTAGAAATATGTCAACGTGTCCATATATTGGTGTTGCAAGATGTCAACGTGTCCATGTGTTGGTGTTGCAAGATGTCAACGTGTCCATGTGTTGGTGTTGCAAGATGTCAACATGGCCATGTGTCGGTGTAGAATGATGTCAACGTGGCCATGTGTTGGTGTAGAAATATGTCAACGTGGTCATGTGTTGATGTAGAAATATGTCAACGTGGTCATGTGTTGGTGTAGAAATATGTCAACGTGGCCATGTGTTGGTGTAGGAATATGTCAACGGGGTCATGTGTTGGTGTAGAAATATGTCAACATGGCCATGTGTTGGTGTAGAAATATGTCAACGTGGCCATGTGTTGGTGTAGAAATATGTCAACGTGGTCATGTGTTGGTGTAGAAATATGTCAACGTGGTCATGTGTTGGTGTTGCAAGATGTCAACGTGGCCATGTGTTGGTGTAGAAATATGTCAACGTGGCCATGTGTTGGTGTAGAAATATGTCAACGTGGCCATGTGTTGGTGTAGAAATATGTCAACGTGGTCATGTGTTGGTGTTGCAAGATGTCAACGTGGCCATGTGTTGGTGTAGAAATATGTCAACGTGGCCATGTGTTGGTGTAGAAATATGTCAACGTGGCCATGTGTTGGTGTAGAAATATGTCAACGTGGTCATGTGTTGGTGTTGCAAGATGTCAACGTGTCCATGTATTGGTGTTGCCAGATATAGATGAGTGTATGGACACAGGCCTCTGTGTCGGGGAGTCCCAGTGCCACAACCTGCTGGGGTCATACCAGTGTACCTGCCCCCTGGGATTCCAGTACACGAGCGACGGATGTGCAGGTAATGCCATCACTTCATTACTCAGTTTTACCAGTTCCAGTTTTCTATCGTCTAATTGAATTTTGCTATATTTGATTTCGTTATATACATCTGTTATAACGGTCTTCGTTCTGTATAGTTCATTGGTAAACACACACTGGGGAAAGCTAACTTTAATGTAAACTTCCCAAGTGCTTGGTTTCTGCATATGCGTGTAACGCTGAAGCCAGCTTTTCGTACCTAACGTCGTGATGTTGCCGGAATGATCATACTTCTGTTGTGAATTATTAAGACGTGGACGAATGTGTAACATCTCCGTGTGCTGTGGGCGGCGTCTGCAACAACACTGTGGGCAGCTTCCTCTGTTCCTGTAGGCGGGGTTACTACAACAACGGCACACACTGTCTAGGTAAAATAAATCCCACCCTCTTTGTTGTTGTTGTTTACATTCAAATCCTGTATTTCTGTAACAATGATCATCACCAAGTTATCAAAACATACAGTCACTTATCTGTGAAAACACTTTACATTTTGGGACACAATATACAACAACATCATGACTGAAAATTAGTTAAATACTTAAATCTAATCTCGATGCCAATAAAAGTTCATTCATTAATCACTAAAGACTTACGTCTTTCATGTATCAACATGAATTCAGCCCTAATGGAACCAGTCTTGTGAACACATTTTAGGAATATGACATTATCATAAGTACATGTATCTTGTATATAAACTGGTGTGCCCCTATCATTCCCCATATGCTTGAAAACAGTATAAGAATCTATACCGAAACGTCGCCATTGTTAAATAAAGAAGTTGATCATTTATAAAGTTGTGTCATCTCTATACCACCAACTTCTAGAATGCCACTCAAACAAAACCTTTTAGGAAGGTTATGCAAAGTCTTTTCGCTTGTTTTCAATGTCTGTGGACATCAGAACTGAGGCAAACTTAATCTGTGAAACATTAACTATAAGAATAAATATTCAAACTTGGTGCAACCAGATGGCACCTAGCTTACTATAGATACATACAGCGCTAATCGTGAGATAACAAAAAAAAGAGAGATATGCAACCAGATGGCACCTAGCTTACTATAGATACATATGTAATGTAAATGTAACGATAATGATGTGTTATTGCCCTAAAGGATACTTTACATAGATGAGTGGTTTTGTAAACGTCAGTTTACCCCTACTAACGTATTGCAATGTAGTTTTCGAGACCCGTGAACTCTGTTATTTTCAGAACCAATTTGCCTCAGCATAACAATGTTGTAGTGTCATGATTCTTTATATACAATATCAGAATATTTTTTAGTCAATTTAAACAGTGTCCATTTTGCAATGACTATTTCTTTTTGCATTATTTTTGCAAAACCGGACAGATGATTAAAGTGATTAGCGAAAATTTAGAAATAGTTCCTGTAAATTGTCAGAACTATCGGTACTGTGGTTTAGGAGTTCTAGTGTTGTCCCTGTTAATGATGACCAACCTCCATGCAGACATCAACGAGTGCAGGGCGCCACTGAGCCCCTGCGAGGGGGGAGCTGATCTGCTACAACACCCTCGGGGACTACTACTGTGGGTGCCGGCAGGGGTACCGGAAGAATGGCTCTCTGTGTCTGGGTAAGGCTTCAACACCATTGTATTCGTAAATCATGGAGGTCTTTGTCAAGAAACGCATTATTATACTAGTAAGCTTTTAAGGTCTTGGCCTAAGCACTGTTGTGTAGGTAAGTCTAATATGTATAGGACCAGGCACTGTCTTGTACGTATTGGTGATCTTGGCAAAAGCACTGTTGTACTGGTTAGTCTTTGATGTCCCCGACCGCGTCATACCAGAAGACGTTAAAATATGGTACTTGTTGGTCCCTGACTGGCGCTCGGCATTAATGGGTACAACAAGGACTGGTCGGCTCGGAGTCAGTATACTGTGTTTGAGTGGGGTATTCGTGCTTCACTGCGGCATGGTATCTCAGTGGACTAGCACTATAAAACCAGCTTAAGTCTGGGCTAGTACAGGCAGCCGCACATACACATACACACGCATGCACGTCGTCATATGAGCGAAATATTCTCAAGCACGACGTTAAACCCAATTTCACCTCACCTCACCTTGGATGTCATGACCAAGGAACTGTTTTATAGGTATTGAAGATCTTAACCTTAACACTGTTGTACAGGTACGTCAAATATTATCAGTATCTTGCAATATTATGTCATGGTTTCAGCCCTGTTGTATTGATTAGTCTTGTCGACGCGGGCATTTGTCACCTAACGTGTCCATAGATATATTGCCATTTCTACCTTCAAAGGTTCAAGACAATTTGCCACACATGAAAGCAAATGCCTTCTGAAGGTTACTGAGGAAACTAGTCATGGTAAGGTCTGGGATATAATTGTAGGATGATTATCAAGGTGTTCTGGGGACGTTAATTTCGGCATGTTCGTCAAGGTAGGGCCAGCAACACTGAGGATCGTAATCCGAAATTTCTGATGAACTGAAAGTGTTCTTTGACATTGTGATGAAGTGTATATGCATCGCAATACGTCGTGACCTTATAAACTGCAGTCTGTTGTTATCTGTTTTAGACGTTGACGAGTGCATATCCGGCAAGGACCGGTGTCATGCGCATGCTCACTGCGGCAACCTGATCGGCTCCTACTTCTGTCAGTGCTGGAAGGGCTACAGCGGCAGCGGCTACATCTGCTACGGTGAGTCACACGACGTGGACGTGTACACATCCCTAGAAACGTCATTTTACATGGGGACGGCTTGAGTTGGTCCATTCATTCTACTGTGTATGTGCTCAGTGGGTCGGATGGTACTATTTGGTTATGGGGTGGTGGGGTAGCCTATTGGTTAAAGCGTCCGCTCGTGAAGCCGAAGGCACGGGTTCGATTCCTCACATGAGTCCAATGTGTGAAGCCCATTTCTGGTGTCCCCCACCGTGATTGTGTTGGAATATTGTTAAAAGCGACGTAAAACTGAACTCACTCGCTCACCTATTTGGTTATACTTGGTTGGTTGAGTGTCGGGACCTGTATGTCACGTTGGTTATAAAACCACATCTGGGGTTGTCTGATCCGGAACTGTATCATGCCGACATGATGTTACTGGGAAATAGCTGACTTCGGGGCACTGAGTGCTGCACACGGCGACTTGAGTCACGATCCGGTAGGGTTGTGTTGTGGCACTGCTCGCTGAATATACCCCGGGTAGCCCACGACTGTTTAATGATTCTGGGTGCTTCAGATGTCAACGAGTGCAAGGTTAACAACGGCAGCTGCGACCATAGATGTCAAAACATCCCCGGCAGCTTCCGGTGTGGCTGTAACTATGGTTACCGACTTGGCAGGGATGGGAGAACCTGTGAAGGTAAGACGGGTAAAGTGAAGACCAAAATGAACAGGGCAAAGTGACTGAGCGAGTGAGTGAGTGAGGGAGTGAAATTTGACGTTAACATAGATTGAACAGAGCTCAAGTTCTGTCACAGCGTATCTGCTTGTTAGGGGAAGCAGGAAGCAGAATGCAGGTCGTTTATAACATTGGCCAAACCAATCTCAGCCTGGATTAAAAAATTCTTTATATTGTGTTATCCACAAATAATGACCATTGTATCGTCAGTGAATTGGGTGAAAACCTGTTTTGGAGGGCATGGTCTGGTGGATGTGGGAGTGGAGTCCGTGGTGCAGTGAAGTGGTGTAGGTGTGAGACGTTATCACTATTGTGAAACCCAGCTGAGCACAGGTACGGTGAACTGTCACTTCAACATAGACCCACATGGACTGCAATTGGCAAGGACACCAGACATAGATAACATTGCCATGGTGCTATATGAATTCACTATAGCCTGTAGATAGTTCAGTGATGCATCTCGGTGTTACAGATGTAGATGAATGCCAGTACGGGAACGCCGGGTGTGAACACACCTGCAACAACGTGGTGGGGACATACTACTGCAGCTGCAACGGGGGATACAGGCTGCACGTTGACAACAAGAGATGTGTCGGTGAGACTGCACGTCATCAGATTTGACCCTCGATAATCCAGCATATTAAATATCCATTCTAACGACGCTGTGAGGTACATCCGACATAAGGTGCTATCCTACCAAAATTCATTCATGGTATTATGCAGAGTTGCTAATACAAGATACTTTCCAGTAAAAGTTATGGCAGTGATAGGACAACATATTTGAGATATTGCAATTAAGATACTCGAGAATGGAGACCTGAAAACGGATGAACCGATTGTAGATCCGCGCAACAAGACGCTAGATTTTCAGATTTTAACATTTTTAGTAGTTCATGAGTCAGCGAGTAAGATGATTCAAGATTAATACGCAAAGGTTAATAAAGAATTCGGTCGAAACAAAAATAAATTATGAAATCAGTAAATAACTACCCAAGATGAATCAAGAGTTAACAGCCGGGAGTCGGCATGAAGTCCATGTTTTCGGCACTCGGTCAAAAGATAATACGCAATTCAGTTCATAAAATGCCACGGATTTACCTCGAGCCGCTATTGCATAGGTACATACGATCAAGGTAGGTTTGTTAACACCATAAGCAGGGGCGGATACAGCATTTTTAGAAAGGGGGGGTGTATACTATTGAGTAAAGGGAGGGTGCACTTTTCATTTTCACCCGAGTTTCAATGGTCATCAAATAAAATTTCAGAACAAAAGGGGGGTGCCCACCCCTGCACCCCCCTTCTGGATCCGCCTATGATAAGGGAGGTAATACTAAATGCTGATGAGTACCGCTTACATCAGGCCGGCTACGACAATCGATATTTTACGAGCGTTTCATTCTACAGCAACGGATGTCAACAGTTACGGATGATATTCGTTATGTTACAGACGTGAACGAGTGTATGACCGACCACGGCGGCTGTCACGGGTTCTGTAACAACACTCTAGGGTCCTTCTACTGCCACTGTCCCGCTGCCCTTGTTCTAGCAGACGACGGGTTCTCCTGCAGACGTGAGTATCCTTGACCTGATTGCAACATCTGCTGCTGTAGACGTGATTAGCCTTGATCTGGTTGTAACGTCAACTGCTGTAGACGTGATTAGCCTTGACATGGTTGTAACGTCTGCTGCTGTAGACGTGATTAGCCTTGATCTGGTTGTAACGTCAACTGCTGTAGACGTGATAAGCCTTGACATGGTTGTAACGCCTGCTGCTGTCGATGTGAGTAGCCTTGATCTGATTGTAACGTCAACTGGTGTAGACGTGATTAGCCTTGATCTGGTTGTTACGTCTGCTGCAGTACACGTGAGTAAACTTGACCAGATTGTAACGTCAACTGTTGCAGACGTGAGTAGCCTTGACATGGTTGTAACGTCTGCTGGTGTCGATATGAGTATCCTTGACCTGGTTATAACGTCAACTGGTGTAGACGTGAGTAGCCTTGACATGGTTGTAACGTCTGCTGCTGTCGATGTGAGTAGCCTTGACAAGGTTGTAACGTCTGCTGCTGTCGATGTGAGTAGCCTTGACATGCTTGTAACGTCTGTTGCTGTCGATGTGAGTAGCCTTGACACGGTTGTAACGTCTGCTGCTGTCGATGTGAGTAGCCTTGACCTGATTGTAACGTCAACTGTTGTAGACGTGAGTAGCCTTGACCTGGTTGTAATATAACACTCTAGGGTCCTTCTACTGCCACTGTCCCGCTGCCCTTGTTCTAGCAGACGACGGGTTCTCCTGCAGACGTGAGTATCCTTGACCTGATTGCAACATCTGCTGCTGTAGACGTGATTAGCCTTGATCTGGTTGTAACGTCAACTGCTGTAGACGTGATTAGCCTTGACATGGTTGTAACGTCTGCTGCTGTAGACGTGATTAGCCTTGATCTGGTTGTAACGTCAACTGCTGTAGACGTGAGTAGCCTTGACATGGTTGTAACGTCTGCTGCTGTCGATGTGAGTAGCCTTGATCTGATTGTAACGTCAACTGGTGTAGACGTGATTAGCCTTGATCTGGTTGTTACGTCTGCTGCAGTACACGTGAGTAAACTTGACCTGATTGTAACGTCAACTGTTGCAGACGTGAGTAGCCTTGACATGGTTGTAACGTCTGCTGCTGTCGATGTGAGTAGCCTTGACACGGTTGTAACGTCTGCTGCTGTCGATGTGAGTAGCCTTGACATGCTTGTAACGTCTGTTGCTGTCGATGTGAGCAGCCTTGACACGGTTGTAACGTCTGCTGCTGTCGATGTGAGTAGCCTTGACCTGATTGTAACGTCAACTGTTGTTGACGTGAGTAGCCTTGACCTGGTTGTAATATGGCGTGGTGGGCGAGCTGGCTAAGGCGCCAGGCTAGTGATCCAGCGAGCGTGGAGGTGCCGGGATCGAGCCCACCTTTGACTGGGCGTAGAAACCTTTGATTCAACTTTGTATGCAGACTCTTTCAGTGTTGTCACAACCCCTAGTGTACAGTACACAACCCTGTTCACTTAAAAGAACCCACGAATCCGTTGGTAAATGACCAGATGGTGGCCACATGAATACGTGCAAACATCTAGTTGCGGGTACAGCAACGTGCAGTAAACTTGGACAAAGTACTGTGACTATGTGTCCCAGTCCACCCAGCTGTGAATGGGTAACTCGAAAGGATGGGAAAGTCACATTAACTCGGTGCGCCTAGTGGGAGTTGAGATTGATAATATGATGTGCCGCTGAGATTGACATCCAATGACATCCAATGGGAAAAACAAAGAATTGCTTTGAGCAGGCATGTGAGATGGACTATAGCGCTATATAAATACCCATATATATATAACGTCTACTGCAGTACACGTGACTAGCCTTGACCTGGTTGTAACTTCTGCTGGTGTAGACGTGAGTAGCCTTGACATGGTTGTAACGTCTGCTGGTGTAGACGTGAGTAGCCTTGACATGGTTGTAACTTCTGCTGGTGTAGACGTGAGTAGCCTTGACCTGGTTGTAACGTCTGCTGGTGTAGACGTGAGTAGCCTTGACATGGTTGTAACGTCTGCTGGTGTACACGTGAGTAGCCTTGACCTGGTTGTAACGTCTGCTGGTGTAGACGTGAGTAGCCTTGACATGGTTGTAACTTCTGCTGGTGTAGACGTGAGTAGCCTTGACCTGGTTGTAACGTCTGCTGGTGTAGACGTGAGTAGCCTTGACATGGTTGTAACTTCTGCTGGTGTAGACGTGAGTAGCCTTGACATGGTTGTAACTTCTGCTGGTGTACACGTGAGTAGCCTTGATATGGTTGTAACTTCTGCTGGTGTAGGCGTGAGTAGCCTTGATCTGATTGTAACGTCTGCTGGTGTAGATGCGGGTAGCCTTGAAGTTATTGACTATAACATCTGCTGCTGTAATCTTACATATAATGAAATCGTATTCTTCATGCAATGCGAAAATCACAACTATTTCGCTAAATATTAGACCATGAATTTGAATAGCTTTAATCCGATCGGTAGATGTCAGGAACCGACCTGATTGAAACAATGCTAATGTTCCTAAAAAGATACTTTTTATGGCCAAAATAATCATAATTATTGCATGTCTAAATACCTTTTAGCATTCATTGATGACAACACACATCACAAGAACGAATCGAGTGCACTCCTTGCGATGGTATACCACCACATCACGCAGTGATTGTTATAGTCCTGCTTAGAGGCCTATATTCAATAAGCAGCGAATGTCATTAAAATTCCCAAATGGGAAATTAGATATTCCATGTAAGTCTAGCTAATGTTATCTTCAGTCAAGGTAACTGAAACCAGGTACAATAAAGGGAAAACTTAAAATTTGCACTTATACAATAAATGTAACGTTTCAACAGAATGCTAAAATGCCTCTGTTTATACACACACACGCGTGCGTACGCATGCATACATTTATACTGAAAGAAAACTCCAAACTGTCGAACAAATGAAGAAAATCATGAACTGTCTGACAAGCGCAGCAGGTAGTGTGGAATTCGTAGAAATTCCCTGATGTGTATCCCTGTACACCGGGTTCATTCTGAGGACATGTCTTCAGGAGGCAAAACCTTCAGATTTAGCTTTGTTTAGAATCCGGCTTGTGTTCCAGCCATTGCGAGCTGCAGAGACAAGAATGGCGGCTGTGAGCAGGTGTGCGAGGATCTGCCAGACGACAAGTTCAGATGCTCCTGTAGGCCTGGTTTCACGCAGAACATCAACGCCAGATCGTGCAATGGTACGGTGAACATCGGTGCGGTGAGGGTTGTATCGGGGAATATTCAATAAACCACTGTCTCAACATAGAGGTGGGGGGTTCTAACGTTGGTAGCGTCGAGTACGGGGGACATTGGGGTTGGAGATTTAGCCAGTAAGTAGAGTTCTTATCTATAGCTATATTTCTTGAAGAACGACACCACGTTTACAAATGCTGGACCAAACATATTAGGGCTTTCAGATGTGCAGTTGTTTTCTCTATTTATTGTCTATTTTGAAAATTGTAATCTTTAAATCTTTTAACACTTTAGGATTTAGGTGGTAGATGGTTTATCACGATTTGTTGACACGATGGCTAATAATGACCGTCAGCGAGGACTGAAAGGCTATGTTAGATCATCACGCCAGCCCCCAGTGGAGTTATTACTAACTAACAGCCTATCAGTAGTCTACGAGTTCGACAGGGAATGGGAAATCGAACTTTAAACTTTTTCTAGTGAGACACATGTGGTTTTGATTTCACGTAGAAATAGTCTAGCTGGAACCTTGTATTTCGTCATTCACCGCGCCTTTTCAAATCAAATCGAAATCGCTCTTTGGTGTTCTCGGTTGTCGTGGTATACCCATCAACAAACATGTATATACATTTACTTGTCATACTCCTCTCTGTACGTTCCACTTGTCACGTTACTTCTTCCAGACATAGACGAGTGTTTATCGGGCAACGCAGGCTGCGAGCAGGAATGTCTCAACACGCCCGGAAGTTTTCAGTGCGCATGCCGGAAGGGCTATCAGATGCGCAAAAACAGAAATAACCAGAGGAAATGTGAACGTAATTATACATAGCGGTATTCCGTTTTTGAAATATCCATTTGCAGATGGGTGAATGAGCCTTACTGTATATTATCTCAGTAATATCTGGATGTTTCTGTCAAGGATCAGCTGAAGTATCAGTTAGTCCATCAACAATATTTTACCATATTTTAATAAATGATGTAATATGAACCAAAACACTTTGAGATTTATGTTGGTCACAAGTGAATTGTAACATGTGGCCTACCTAGAAATGCCAGATTTATAATTGTGCATGAAGAAATACGCTGTTCTCCGATATAATTTAAACATGTATAATATATACTTTGTGGAAAGGTATGAGATTGTGTCAAGGGGCGTACTTCTATTTAAATGGTTGCCCCAGAAGAATGACAACATGTTTGTCGGTGCAGTTTTAAATCTCGAACATTATTTGTCATGTTAATTAATTCACAGGAAAATATGTGTGAAAACTATAAATGCCTGCAATAGTGTCGTTACAGGGGTCGTTGCCGTGATGTCATGTCGCAGGTGATGTGGTCACACATGCGCAATAACCATCACCGTCCATAATTACCTCCCTACGCCCATCTACTCCCATCTTAATCGACCCCGGGGCACTGGGCACAGTTCTAACGGCCATATTATAACACAATTTTTTTATTGTGGTATCGTTCAGATCGGACCTTGGCGGTGTGAGGTGTCCTCACATTTCAGTATTTACTAGTGGTGGTCCGATTAATAGAAAATAATCGAAGATTGGTCGCAGTGACTAAACGACCAAGCAATCGAACATGTTTTCTCATAATCGAACACGACCAATCTTTGAACACTTGTTTGCATTAACAATATTTTTCACAAGGCTGGTTTTGTCTGTGTCATTAAATTTACATTTCATAAGCACTACATGTACAAGCTCTTTCCAAGTCATGATTGAATTTATCTTAAAGAATCCGGGAAATACGTGTTCCTAACATACTAATCATAATTTAAATATGCAAAATTTGCAAATGGACTTTGTGCAATTTGCTAAAAAACAAACAAATTACTACATGTTTTTTCTTTATTTTTGTGTGCATTAACACAAATAACAGGAACATTTGATATATGACTCTAACCAATTATTTTCGATGATTGATCGGTTGTAATGGACCAATCATCAATTATTAGATTTTAACCAATTCCCAACACTAGTATTTACTGGATCCGACGTGTGGATTGTGTGACATCATCCCCCAACAAGGAAAGTTTATCATGCTATCACCCACTGGTTAGCCTGGTCCTGACTCGATTACATGGTCAGTTTTATCCGTCTGCATAAGAGGTCATGGTCACATGGCCTAGCATGCACTGGTAGGAGTCTGACTTGAACAATAATTTTGACAAATAATAGCATTTCATGAATTCTAAACATTTTTGTTTAATTGATGTATCTATTTTACGTCGTACTTGTACCCAGCAACATGTGACCCTCCGTGTTCTAACTACGGACGCTGCCTGGCCCCGAACAAATGTCTGTGTCCCGCCGGATACCCAGGACCCGGATGTTCGGGTGCGTGTAGCTGTAATAGAACCAGTTGCTACCGTCGTATTCAATTCTTCAATAGTCATTTGTCTTATGTCATTATCATTCTATGCTGACAACTAATACTGTCAACTTATATCTAGTAAAGTTAAGCTCCGTTTTGAGCGGGCGGTCGGGTAGCCTAATGGTTAAAGCGTTGGCTCGTCACGCCGAAGACCCGGGTTCGAATCTCCCACATGGGCACAATGTGTGAAGCCCATTTCTGGTGTCCCCCGCCGTGATGTTGCTGGAATATTGCTAAAAGCGGCGTAAAACCAAACTCAGTCAGTCAGTCAGTCCGTTTTGAGCTGGTAGAATCGAATTCTGCTGAGTTGGTTTACCCTTAGACTAAGGCTTAGTCTCTGAATATATATAATTTTGATAGAACAAACAAGCCCATTTATATTGAAGAGGAGCCCTAGGGAGACCAGAGATTCAGAACCTGAGGAAATCTAGACTTGCATTATTTAGGGCTTTAGCACTGCAGAGAGGGCTTGGCAGTAGGGAAATTAATGTGGTTCAGGGACTGTGAGGCACACTAGTTTACCCTGTGTGACTGTACTTCCAGCAATCTGCAGTCCACCATGCAGTCACGGGGGAACTTGTCTGAGGCGGAACCGATGTGTTTGTCCAGCTGGCTGGACAGGGAACAGCTGCTTGAGAGGTTAGAGTTGGCCAGACTGTTTCCTTAGTGTTGTCTAAATGGGATACAGATAACATTGTCCGCTCCCTATTTTTGTGTAAACCGTGCTTCGTGCCATATATTTGTCTTAATGTTTGAGTTTTTACGAAAAACAGTGGTACTATTGACTCTTGTGGAGACAGTCACCCGGTTTAACGTCCTCTATGGGGGCGAAATAGCGTGAGGGAATCAGTTTAGGGTATGATACCAGTAGGATACCCTTTTCGCGAACACCTAATGTCATTTCTGATTTTCAGGGATCATTTATGCAGTTTTCACCGCTTTCTTGCCCTTTACTCAAGTGTATTCTGTTTTGGGGGTATGTTGAGACTGGTTGTTCCATAGCTTTGAAATTTTGAGATACATCTGATATATTATTGGTTTTTGGTTTCAGCTGTATGTCAGATACCCTGTAGGAACGGGGGGCGATGTGTGGCGCCCAACACGTGTCAGTGTTCATCAGGGTTCACGGGGGATCAGTGCCAGACACGTACGTATATAAACAGTTGTCATGGTTACCATTGTGTTGAACAGAAACATGGTTGAAAGTGCAAGCAGCAAATCCCAAACAAGATCATAACAAGATTTTATCTATTCAACACACTTACATATTATTGGTTCTGCCTCTAATATAGACATGATATTGTTTGTAATATTTGTGATCGTACACAATGTTAAAATATATGTCCGTGTCAGTTATATTTATGATGGGTTCGAATCTCAGATTCGACCCGTTTAGGACCCATGAGTACTGTGACAATACTTCGTAAACTGAGGGGCAAAAGAAACGTCCCCAAAGTAAAATTGTAAAAAACATTTCTTCTGTTTTCGTTATGACGGAAATTTATTTAGGAACACATCTCCCGAACGCATCCCCACGTCTCACAGAAAGGAAATCCACGTGGAGTTTTTTGTAAGCTTGAAAATTGCTTTTATTCACGTTTTTTGCATGCTTCTGTGGAAACATACCCGTATGAAAGTACAGTATAAAAATTATGCTCGACTGTTCGAATTCATCACTTCAATACGTTGGACACAAAGAACATGCCTAGACTCACGGCAGAACAGAGAGAACGAGCTATTGGGATGTTGCAGCTGGGTGCTTCTCACAGTCACGTTGCAAGAATCATGGGTTGCAGCAAGAAAACCATCACCAGACTGATGACACGCTTCAGAACAACAGGTCGGACTGCAGACAGGCCTAGGACAGGGAGACCACCCGTAACAACCCCTCAGGAAGACCGCCATTTACGGGTGCTTCACCTGCGCAACAGATTCCTGACTGTGACGTCATCAGCAACAACCAGCCTTACCCATCCAGTCAGTAGAAGGACCATATCCAGACGACTCCGCCGATTCGGTATCAGAGCCTACAGACCATTCCGGGGCGTGACGTTAACGCGTGAACATCGACGTCGTCGATTGGCAGGGGCACGTAGAGTTCGGCAGTGGCAGCCGCGGAACTGGCGCCGGGTACTCTTCAGTGACGAGAGCCGCTTCCAGTTGAACAAAGCTGATGGTCGGGTACGAGTCTACAGACGTCGGAACGAACGCACAGCACGTTGTTGCGTTCAGGAAGTTGAGACGTTTGGCGGCGGTAGTGTGATGGTGTGGGGGGAGAATTTGTGGCGAGAGGAAGACTGACTTGTTGGTGATAGAGGGAAACCTGAATGCCCGTCGATACATTGATGTTGTTTTACGACCTGTCGTGTTACCCTTCCTCCAGCAGAATCGAGGCGTGTTGTTTCAGCAGGATAACGCTACTCCCCACACTGCTGTTGTTACCCGGAACTTCCTGAACAACAACAACGTAAACGTCATTCCTTGGCCAGCAAGATCCCCCGATTTATCACCTATTGAGCACCTATGGGATCATCTCGGCCGTCAGGTTAAGCAACGTCAACATCCCCCACAGACAAGAAACGCTTTGGCTCAAGCTCTACAGGAAGAATGGCGTCGCATCCCACATCACGTGATCAGACGTCTTGTGCACTCTGCACGACGTCGTGTGGCAGCATGTATCGCTGCAAGAGGTGGACACACTCGCTACTGAGGAGTTGGACACTCAAAGACACTCTGTCAGTACTGATGTGCATGTGTTGTCATGATCGAAAACCGGACATTTGAACCTCCTGTGAAAAACGTCACAAAAACTCTACTTACAGCAAATTGTTTCAATTGTTATGTAATGACAGTCTGCATAATATATTCAAAAATTATATCAAACATTTCAACATTGAATTGCACGTGTTTGTATCATTTTATGATACAAAAATGATCGGGGACGTTTCTTTTGCCCCTCAGTTTAGTATAACTGAAATATGTTCCGTCAGCTTTATGTTCCACGTCATGCTACCGGAAGTCAGCCATTTTGGAGTTGCAGGGGCACACGGTCTGCCTCAGTTTGGACTTTCTTCTCGCACGTGGTAATAGATCTCAGATAGGTAATATCGCTGATAAACTTACCCTCTCACTTTTGTGTTGTGTCTAATTGCAGCCACCTGTTCTCCTGGGTGTGAAAACGACGGGCGATGTATCCGAGTGAACGTTTGTATGTGTAAGAAGGGATTCTCGGGACCAAGATGTCAGAACTGTAGGTCACAGTGAATACTCTCAACATGTCAAAACTGTAGGTTGTGTTTGAAAGTATGCATGTCAACGCTGTGGGTCTTGGCGAATAGACGGACTGCATGTCAACACTGTCGACCATAGTGAATACTCTCATAACATGTCAACACTGTCGACCATAGTGAATATATGTCAACACTGTAGACCACAGTGAATACATGTCAACACTGTAGACCATAGTGAATACATGTGAACACTGTAGACCATAGTGAATACTCTCATAACATGTCAACACTGTAGACCATAGTGAATACATGTGAACACTGTAGAACATAGTGAATACTCTCATAACATGTCAACACTGTAGACCATAGTGAATACATGTCAACACTGTAGACCATAGTGAATACTCTCATAACATGTCAACACGTCATGGCGAATAGACCCATAGATCGTGATCGAGACTACCAATGCCTGGGTGCACTGAGTTAGGCGTCTGACTTTTTGGGCTGGCGATTAGGTGCATGACTCTGAGAGTCGAATCCCGGATAGAATTTAAAAGTACTAGAATCTGTACTTTACTGAGATCCCCAAACTAACGTGTTACATTTCACCACTTTCTGAATGGCATTGTGTATTCACAGATTGATGCATGTCAACACTATAGGTCTTAGTGAATAGACCGGTGCAGAAGTGGGTTAGACATTTTCTTCAGCAACGTCTACTTGTAGGAGGCGATGATATGGATCGGGTGTGTCCCTTTTGTGTCTGCTGATGCTCATGATGTCAATCACCAGATTGTTAGGTCAAGTCTCGAGAATTCATATAGTGCAAGAACATTGCTCAGTTCGGCGATCAACAGCAAATGAACAGTCTTGCATGGGTCTCATAACAATCTTGCATGGGTCTCATAACAATCTTGCATGGGTCTCATAACAATCTTGCATTGGTCTCATAACAATCTTGGATAGGTCTCAACAATCTTGCATGGGTCTCAACAATCTTACATGGGTCGCGTAACAATCTTGCATGGGTCTCATAACAATCTTGCATTGGTCTCATAACAATCTTGGATGGGTCTCAACAATCTTGCATGGGTCTCATAACAATCTTACATGGGTCGCATAACAATCGTACATGGGTCGCGTAACAATCTTACATGGGTCGCGTAACAATCTTACATGGGTCGCATAACAATCTTACATGGGTCCCGTAACAATCTTACATGGGTCTCATGTTAGGTTGGTCTACGTCATAGGTGCCTGTATTCCAAGTGTTAGTGTAACAATGGATGTTGTAATCACGTATACTCCTTTTCATACAGATCCTGTCAAGTTAGTTCACGGGCCGCCCCCGTGTTTCTAAGCTCTGTGTTTCATGGGACAATAACATGTATAGATCTCAAGTTCCTTATTGTCACAACCCTTTCTGCATCTTGAGCCTTCATCAAGTCGACATACATATATATTCTCTGCCCATGAACAGCAAACCAAGACCTATCAGAGACCTGATTGTGTTCTCTTTCTGATTGCTCTCGAGATTCCGAAAATAAACCGGTCGCAAGTCAGATGTAAATGCGGCAAACAATGACGGAGCTGATACAAAAATGCCCGTATGATTGAATCAATTGATAAACGAATAATTCACAACACGGTCTTGGAACGTGTAAAGGCAACTGAACTGACCGCTCAATGTACTGGTGTTAATCCTGTTGACGTTATACATGGAAATTGATTAATGGTTATTAAATCAATAGTCGGCCATGTAGTACATTCTTTGTAGAGAGTCGGGAAGTATGTGGGGACAGTGTGTTTCCATGTCGGAACCTTGTGAGAATCGTAAATAACAACGAGTGTAAGATTCCGTCTATATCATGAGCACGAATTGATGATACCAGGTGTTCGGGAACCGTTTCCTGCTCCCACTGTGGCTCACTTTGCAAATACATGCAAGGGCAGATCAAGAACAAAAACTCGGGTTACAAGTCAAAATTGTGAATAGCAAACGTCATTTCTGTCAGTAGGCTAGGTGGAATGGTTTTAGTCCGAGCGCCCCACCAGACCTGACCCTCGATGTCAGGACAATCTGGTAACCCTGGAGCCATTCTAGTCCGGAGACCATGCTACATCTGGACGCCCCTTTAGGTTTAACCCTTTTGGTTCCAGCCCTGGCCTCCCACTTAGCATGAGAAACGACAGAGGCTCGCATGTGGTTATAAAGTATGGATGTTGCTAATGCAATTAACTTCCGGGTTACATGTCCCGGAAGTATTTTACTGTACCCACGATATAAACTAGAATACTGCTGATTGAGGCATTAAACAACATTCTATCACCTAATCGAGGATATGTCAAATATTTGTCAGTAATGCTTCCCATGACGCGTTTGTGACTTTGATATTGCCTTTTCTAATGGTCCACAGCACGTCCTCGGTGTCGCCCGGGTTGTAGAAATGGAGGGAGATGTGTCGGCTTGAACAAGTGCACGTGTCGGCCTGGATACAGAGGAAACCTATGCCAAATAGGTATGCTACATTACTTGGGGCAGTGGGGTAGCCAAGCGGTTAAAGCGTTCGCTCATCACGCCAAAGATCCGGGTTTAAATTTCCCACATGGATACAATGGATTAACCCCATTTTTGGTGGCCGCCGCCGCGATATGGCTGGAATATTGTTAAATGCGGCGTAAAACCATACTCACTCACTACATTACTGGGGATACGTGTCATCGACGTATTTTTCAATTACATGAGACGAAAAGATAATATTTACTTCCAAGAATTTATAACAGCAGTTTTGTTTTGGACACCAATGGGGCAGAGTTGTGTCCCTTTGACAGTTCCACCAGATTATGTTTCTATGTTTATCGACACCATAGCAGTAGTAGTCACTAAATTCGTCAGATTTTCCGCCTGGTCTTTACTCCTATATAAAGTTGACAGGCTTTCGTGTGACTAAATGAAGTGCTTCGTTGAACCCAGCTCACTCACTCACTCACTCAGGGCGGTGGGGTAGCCTAGTGGTTAAAGCGTTGGCTCGTTACGCCGAAGAGGGTTCAGTTCCCCACATGGGTACAATGTGTGAAGCCCATTTCTGGTGTGCCTCGCCGTGATATTGCTGGAATATTGCTAAAAGCGAAGTCAAACCATGCTTACTCTCTCACTCACATCTGTGTCATGTGTAATCTCTCTCCACAGTGAGAACAATGGTTGTCTTGACAACAGAAATTGTATCACAGGCGTAGTAAATCATAAATATTAGCGGCCATTCCTGTTTGGACCTCTGTTTTTCTTGCTCAGAAACCAGAGGCTATGTATTTGTCCTATGTCACCACTTCAGTCTATACACTTCAAGGTCACATATTTAACCATGAAAATATGCACCTGTTAGGTTAGCATAAATATTTGAAGACCTCTCAAGATACCTTTGTGACTGCCAGCTGATCATCACCATCGACTGTAGCACGCCATTGTCAACACAATATCGGACTTCAGCCGTAATCTGTAGTGTATTTCACTACTCTTGCTGTTTGTTATATTTATACGTATTTCAGCTCCCAGGGCAAACTGTCGCCCAGCCTGTCAAAATGGTGGCATATGTCTCCCTGGCAACAGGTGTCGGTGCCCGGATGGGACAAAGGGCTTCCGGTGTCAAGACAGGTACATCTCGTTTCGTGATGATTGCATTGTGGGATATATTAAGTGTTAACATTTAGAATCATGTATCCGTTGCATAAAAAGCAAATTAACCTTATTGTTAGTTGAACACTAGTACTACCCTGGTATACTTTCTGGTAAACAGGGGGCGGTGGGGTAGCCTAGTGGTTAAAGCGTTGGCTCGTCACGCCGAAGACCCGGGTTCGAATCCCCACATGGGTACAATGTGTGAAGCCCATTTCTGGTGTCCCCCGCCGTGATGTTGCTGGAATATTGCTAAAAGCGGCGTAAAACCAAACTCAGTCAGTCAGTCAGTCCTGGTAAACAATTTCCTGAAACAACGTGTATTGCCAACCTTATAGCCTTCCAACAAATTTTGTCTAATTAACTGGCATTGAATTAGCACGTTGTTCCTACACATTGAAACTACATGGGTTTGTTAGTCTTTCGTTTAAATCACCCTTATTGTTTCAGGTGTTTTGCCCAACGTTATCACAGACATTTAGTTCATATTGGTTCACGTTGTTGTCGTCGTCCCCCCTCTAGCTTTTCCCCAAAGCCTAATAAATGTCATCACTATATCTGTAAAGCAATGTGACATGTCCATACATATTTGTCACTACAATAAGTGTCATATCGTGGTGTGTACATTAATTTTTACCTACCATGGACACTGGCCTGTTGTTCTGTCACTGTTATGCCCTTTTGTGACGTTTTCTTTTATTGTTCCCTTATCCAGATTTTCCCTTATAGTGATAATGACGTTACTTTATATCGGTCTTTCCACAGACACTGCCCTATAGTGACAATCATATTTTTCCCCTGACTCAGACACTGCCCTATAGTGACAGTCATGTTTCCCCCTGACTCAGACACTGCCCTAGAGTGACAGTTGTTTCCCCCTGCCTCAGACACTGCCCTATAGTGACAGTCATATTTTCTCCTGCCTCAGACACTGCCCTATAGAGACAGTCATATTTTCCCCCTGCCTCAGACACTGCCCTATAGTGACAGTTGTTTCCCCTGCCTCAGACACTGTCCTATAGTGAGTCATATTTTCTCCTGCCTCAGACACTGCCCTGTACTGACAGTCATATTTGCCCCTGCCTCAGACACTGCCCTATTATGACAGTTGTTTCCCCCTGCCTCAGACACTGCCCTATAGTGACAGTCATATTTTCTCCTGCCTCAGACACTGCCCTATAGAGACAGTCATATTTTCCCCCTGCCTCAGACACTGCCCTATAGTGACAGTTGTTTCCCCCTGCCTCAGACACTGCCCTATAGTGACAGTCATATTTTCCCCTGCATCAGACACTGCCCTATAGTGACAGTCATATTTTCTCCTGCCTCAGACACTGCCCTATAGAGACAGTCATATTTTCCCCCTGCCTCAGACACTGCCCTATAGTGACAGTTGTTTCCCCCTGCCTCAGACACTGCCCTATAGTGACAGTCATATTTTCTCCTGCCTCAGACACTGCCCTATAGAGACAGTCATATTTTCCCCTGCCTCAGACACTGCCCTATAGTGACAGTTGTTTCCCCCTGCCTCAGACACTGCCCTATAGTGACAGTCATATTTGCCCCTGCCTCAGACACTGCCCTATAGTGACAGTCATATTTCCCCTGCCTCAGACACTGCCCTATAGTGACAGTTGTTTCCCCCTGCCTCAGACACTGCCCTATAGTGACAGTTGTTTCCCCCTGCCTCAGACACTGCCCTATAGTGACAGTCATATTTGCCCCTGCCTCAGACACTGCCCTATAGTGACAGTCATATTTCCCCTGCCTCAGACACTGCCCTATAGTGACAGTCATATTTTCTCCTGCCTCAGACACTGCCCTATAGTGACAGTCATATTTTCTCCTGCCCCAGACACTGCCCTATAGAGACAGTCATATTTTCCCCTGCATCAGACACTGCCCTATAGTGACAGTTGTTTCCCCTGCCTCAGACACTGCCCTATAGAGACAGTCATATTTGCCCCTGCCTCAGACACTGCCCTATAGTGACAGTCATATTTTCTCCTGCCTCAGACACTGCCCTATAGAGACAGTCATATTTTCCCCTGCATCAGACACTGCCCTATAATGACAGTTGTTTCCCCCTGCCTCAGACACTGCCCTATAGTGACAATTGTTTCCCCCTGCCTCAGACACTGCCCTATAGTGACAGTCATATTTTCCCCTGCATCAGATACTGCCCTATAGAGACAGTCATATTTTCCCCCTGCCTCAGACACTGCCCTATAGTGACAGTTGTTTCCCCCTGCCTCAGACACTGCCCTATAGTGACAGTCATATTTGCCCCTGCCTCAGACACTGCCCTATAGAGACAGTCATATTTGCCCCTGCCTCAGACACTGCCCTATAGAGACAGTCATATTTTCCCCCTGCCTCAGACACTGCCCTATAGTGACAGTCATATTTTCTCCTGCCTCAGACACTACCCTATAGTGACAGTTGTTTCCCCCTGCCTCAGACACTGCCCTATAGTGACAGTCATATTTTCTCCTGCCTCAGACACTGCCCTATAGTGACAGTTGTTTCCCCCTGCCTCAGACACTGCCCTATAGTGACAGCCATATTTGCCCCTGCCTCAGACACTGCCCTATAGAGACAGTCATATTTTCCCCTGCCTCAGACACTGCCCTATAGTGACAGTCATATTTTCTCCTGCCTCAGACACTGCCCTATAGTGACAGTTGTTTCCCCCTGCCTCAGACACTGCCCTATAGTGACAGTCATATTTGCCCCTGCCTCAGACACTGCCCTATAGTGACAGTCATATTTGCCCCTGCCTCAGACACTGCCCTATAGTGACAGTCATATTTTCTCCTGCCTCAGACACTGCCCTATAGTGACAGTCATATTTTCTCCTGCCCCAGACACTGCCCTATAGAGACAGTCATATTTTCCCCTGCATCAGACACTGCCCTATAGTGACAGTTGTTTCCCCTGCCTCAGACACTGCCCTATAGAGACAGTCATATTTGCCCCTGCCTCAGACACTGCCCTATAGTGACAGTCATATTTTCTCCTGCCTCAGACACTGCCCTATAGAGACAGTCATATTTTCCCCTGCATCAGACACTGCCCTATAATGACAGTTGTTTCCCCCTGCCTCAGACACTGCCCTATAGTGACAGTTGTTTCCCCCTGCCTCAGACACTGCCCTATAGTGACAGTCATATTTGCCCCTGCCTCAGACACTGCCCTATAGTGACAGTCATATTTTCCCCTGCATCAGACACTGCCCTATAGAGACAGTCATATTTTCCCCCTGCCTCAGACACTGCCCTATAGTGACAGTTGTTTCCCCCTGCCTCAGACACTGCCCTATAGTGACAGTCATATTTGCCCCTGCCTCAGACACTGCCCTATAGAGACAGTCATATTTGCCCCTGCCTCAGACACTGCCCTATAGAGACAGTCATATTTTCCCCTGCCTCAGACACTGCCCTATAGTGACAGTCATATTTTCTCCTGCCTCAGACACTGCCCTATAGTGACAGTTGTTTCCCCCTGCCTCAGACACTGCCCTATAGTGACAGTCATATTTTCTCCTGCCTCAGACACTGCCCTATAGTGACAGTTGTTTCCCCCTGCCTCAGACACTGCCCTATAGTGACAGTCATATTTGCCCCTGCCTCAGACACTGCCCTATAGAGACAGTCATATTTTCCCCCTGCCTCAGACACTGCCCTATATTGACAGTCATATTTTCTCCTGCCTCAGACACTGCCCTATAGTGACAGTTGTTTCCCCCTGCCTCAGACACTGCCCTATAGTGACAGTCATATTTTCTCCTGCCTCAGACACTGCCCTATAATGACAGTTGTTTCCCCCTGCCTCAGACACTGCCCTATAGTGACAGTCATATTTGCCCCTGCCTCAGACACTGCCCTATAGAGACAGTCATATTTTCCCCCTGCCTCAGACACTGCCCTATAGTGACAGTCATATTTTCCCCTGCCTCAGACACTGCCCTATAGTGACAGTCATATTTGCCCCTGCCTCAGACACTGCCCTATAGTGACAGTTGTTTCCCCCTGCCTCAGACACTGCCTATAGTGACAGTCATATTTTCTCCTGCCTCAGACACTGCCCTATGGTGACAGTCATATTTTCTCCTCCCCAGACACTGCCCTATAGAGACAGTCATATTTTCCCCTGCATCAGACACTGCCCTATAGTGACAGTTGTTTCCCCCTGCCTCAGACACTGCCCTATAGTGACAGTCATATTTTCTCCTGCCTCAGACACTGCCCTATAGAGACAGTCATATTTTCCCCTGCATCAGACACTGCCCTGTAATGACAGTTGTTTCCCCCTGCCTCAGACACTGCCCTATAGTGACAGTTGTTTCCCCCTGCCTCAGACACTGCCCTATAGTGACAGTCATATTTGCCCCTGCCTCAGACACTGCCCTATAGTGACAATTATTTCCCCCTGCCTCAGACACTGCCCTATAGTGACAGTCATATTTTCCCCTGCATCAGACACTGCCCTATAGAGACAGTCATATTTTCCCCCTGCCTCAGACACTGCCCTATAGTGACAGTTGTTTCCCCCTGCCTCAGACACTGCCCTATAGTGACAGTCATATTTGCCCCTGACTCAGACACTGCCCTATAGAGACAGTCATATTTGCCCCTGCCTCAGACACTGCCCTATAGAGACAGTCATATTTTCCCCTGCCTCAGACACTGCCCTATAGTGACAGTCATATTTTCTCCTGCCTCAGACACTGCCCTATAGTGACAGTTGTTTCCCCCTGCCTCAGACACTGCCCTATAGTGACAGTCATATTTTCTCCTGCCTCAGACACTGCCCTATAGTGACAGTTGTTTCCCCCTGCCTCAGACACTGCCCTATAGTGACAGTCATATTTTCTCCTGCCTCAGACACTGCCCTATAGAGACAGTCATATTTTCCCCTGCCTCAGACACTGCCCTATAGTGACAGTCATATTTTCTCCTGCCTCAGACACTGCCCTATAGTGACAGTTGTTTCCCCCTGCCTCAGACACTGCCCTATAGTGACAGTCATATTTTCTCCTGCCTCAGACACTGCCCTATAGTGACAGTTGTTTCCCCCTGCCTCAGACACTGCCCTATAGAGACAGTCATATTTGCCCCTGCCTCAGACACTGCCCTATAGTGACCGTCATATTTTCTCCTGCCCCAGACACTGCCCTATAGAGACAGTCATATTTTCCCCTGCATCAGACACTGCCCTATAGTGACAGTTGTTTCCCCCTGCCTCAGACACTGCCCTATAGTGACAGTCATATTTGCCCCTGCCTCAGACACTGCCCTATAATGACAGTTGTTTCCCCCTGCCTCAGACACTGCCCTATAGAGACAGTCATATTTGCCCCTGCCTCAGACACTGCCCTATAGTGACCGTCATATTTTCTCCTGCCTCAGACACTGCCCTATAGAGACAGTTGTTTCCCCCTGCCTCAGACACTGCCCTATAGTGACAGTTGTTTCCCCCTGCCTCAGACACTGCCCTATAGTGACAGTCATATTTGCCCCTGCCTCAGACACTGCCCTATAGTGACAATTGTTTCCCCCTGCCTCAGACACTGCCCTATAGTGACAGTCATATTTTCCCCTGCGTCACACACTGCCCTATAGAGACAGTCATATTTTCCCCCTGCCTCAGACACTGCCCTATAGTGACAGTTGTTTCCCCCTGCCTCAGACACTGCCCTATAGAGACAGTCATATTTGCCCCTGCCTCAGACACTGCCCTATAGAGACAGTCATAATTTCCCCCTGCCTCAGACACTGCCCTATAGTGACAGTCATAATT